ATGCTCGCCTCGGCTGCAAGCAGTTCCTTCTCGAGGAGGGCAATGGTGAGCTCAGTGGGGGAGCGAGCGAGGAAGTGGTCCCTGACTGCGCGCAGAGAGTCAGGGAGGCGGGTGACGATGTGGTAGAGTGTGATCCAGAGCGGGGGGGGATTGCTAGCAAGGAACTCGTCAGGCATAGCAGCGCGAAAGCGGGCCTCACTAGTCTTGAGGTGGGTGATGAGGTCAGCAACTGTCTGAAAGGAGGCCAGGTCGGGGAACAGGTAGGGGAGGGTGAGGCGGCCTAGTGTGGCAGAAGCAGGTGAGGAGTAACGAGCAACTACAGCAGTGTACAGGTCCTTAGCAGTCTTGTGCTGGCCAAAATGCTCGCGCTCATCTATCGGTAGGGAGTTGCGAATAGCGAAGCGAGCGTGGGCGTCACGAGTCTGCCACTGTGAGCGCTGAGTGCTGTCTGCAGTGGTAGGAGGGGCAGTAGCGTGACCGAGGGCATGATCGTACAGCGAAATATCCTCCTTGGCCGTGAGCTGTAGGAATAGGTGCAGGTCATCTAGCCAGGTGTCAAACTTCACTGGGCGGCCCTCAGCATCGAAAGCAAGTACGGGAGGACTAGCCATAGTGGCAGCAGCAGTAGTGGTAGTAGCAGTAGGAGTAGCAGCAGTAGTAACAGTAGTAGTAGCAGTAGGAGCAGTAGTAGGAGTAGCAGTATCAACGGGGCTGCTCAGTACGGGCGGCGCGGCTCGGTCGGGCGGCGCGGCTCGGTTTAGGTAGGACGGCGCAGCTCGGGTAGGGCGGCGCGGCTGCACGAATCCGCTAAGCGGGGCGGGACGGGGTCGCGGGGCTGTTAGGTGGGGCGCGACGGGGCCGCGGGGCCTCTAAGCGGGACGCGACGGGGCCGCGGGGCCTTTAGGCGGGATGCGACGGGGCCGCGAAGCTGGTAAGCGGGGCTCGAAGGGGTCGCGGGGCCGTGAGGTGGGGCGCGACGGGGCCGCGGGGCCTCTAAGCGGGACGCGACGGGGCCGCGGGGCCTCTAGGCAGAGCGCGACGGGGCCGAGGGGCCTCTAAGCGGGACGCTACGGGGCCGCGGGGCCTCTAGGCAGAGCGCGACGGGGCCGCGGGGCCTCTAAGCGGGACGCGACGGGGCCGCGGGGCCTCTAGGCAGAGCGCGACGGGGCCGCGGGGCCTCTAAGCGGGGCGCGATCGACGGGGCCAGCGGGGCCGGGAAAAAAAAAGGAAGCGCACGAGGGCGCTAAAGGGGAGGCGCTAAAACGCGCTCCGATAGTAGGGCGCACGAGGGCGCTAGTAGGTAGTAGGTAGTGGTGGGCCCGAAGAGAACTTAGGTCCTAGCGAAGGACCTGCTCTGAAACCATGTCAGAATGAACGGACTGGAATGATTGAACTAACAGTGAAATCAGTACAAGTACCTAACCCTAGAATTGTGTACCCCCTATTCGCGTCCGATCTCGGCCGTTGAAGAAAAACTCGATCTGACGGTCGAAATTTCAACTTTTTCACCACCTGAGGGGTGTTCAAAACCGAATCGAGGGGACTTAGAAAAAATCGCGCAGAATTGGTTTTACATACCCGTATCGGCGCTTTCGTCGTCGCCCCCGCGGTTTTTAAAGGCCGGTTTTAAGCGGAAGAAGAACTCTAGTATAAACAGGCTCTGATTACCAAGTGTGAGGATCTGGTTCAAGAAAGATTGAAATATTGAATAATGCACCTAGGTACAAGGCGAGGCTATATATAGGCTCGACACAAAGGCAGTAACCCTGGTGTTACTAGAAGGTTCCGTGGGTCGCGAAGCGTCTTCAACGGGTCCTCCTTGAATTCGGTAGAAGGCAATTCGGTGGCAACCGAAAAGCCTAGAATTCGATGCACTCAACTTGGTTCGGTGCCTATAACTATAATAAATATAGTAAAAGCAACGAACCTAGGAAATCAAGCAAAAGCAAGCAAAACAAAATAAAGCTAAGCTAGATAATGCATAATAAAGCATAATCAAGCTAGTAAATCATAGCAAAGCCATCGTACTCTCGAACCAAGGAAATCAGCAATAACGAACAAAGCAACATAATGCTAAGCTACATAATACATAATAAAGTAAAGGCAAGCTAGCAAAGCCAGCTTAAGCCGTCGTACTCTCACAGTGGGTGGGTGATCGATCAGATGGACATCACCATGGCTTTCCTCTACGGAATTGTGAACTATGAAGTCTACATGTCCCAGCCCCTGGGTTATGAGGATGGTACCGGACCTGTGTGCAATCTGATCAAGGCCATCTACGGTCTTAAGCAAGCACCTCGCTGCTGGTACAAGAAGCTGCCATCGGTGTTGGAGGATATCTCAGGGCAAGTGCATGTGACGAAAGCCTCTTCCTCATGTGGGAGAAGGAGAGCATTGTCATATTCTTGGTGTATGTGGACGACATCCTCCTGTTCAGGAGCCGCAAGAAGGAGGTGATGAAGGTGCAGCAGAAGCTGATGCAAAACTTCAAGTGCAAGACATTGGGGGAGGCGAACTACTACTTGGGAATGCACGTTGAAAGGGATGTCAGCAACGGGTATGTGAAGCTGCACTAGGAGAAGTACATCAATGACATAGGGAGCAAGTATGAGATAGAAGTCAGAAGGAAGATGACTACACCTCTTTCATCTGGATTCAAACTCATCAAGGCTGGAGAGAATGAGGGAGTGGATTAGCTGGAGCAGGCTTATTTTTAGTCCGTGGTGGAAAGCTTTCTCTATGCAGTAGTACACACCAGGCCGGGGTGTCTCATTTGCTGTGCGGCAGCTGGATAGGGTGGTGCAAAATCCCACATAGGAGCAGGTAGATGCAGCTGACCGCATCATCCAGTATTTGAACTCCTATCCAGCTGTTGGAGTTCAATACTCAGCTGTGGCTCAATTGAAGCTGAAGGGAACAGAGATTCTCAAGGAGAAGGGTGAGAAACTTGGGGAGAGGGAGTTGTTTCTCACGGGGTTTGCTGATGCAAATTGGGCTTCGGAAAAGGAGGACATGTCCTCAGTGGGAGGATATGTGTGTGTGATTGGTGGTGGGCCCATAAGCTGGAAGTCAAAGAAACAGGTGGAAACAGCTTCTTCTGCTGAAGCTGAGTACATGTCAATGTATTATGCAGCCAAGGAGCTGATTTGGCTGAGGAAGTTCCTAGAGGAGATAGGGCATGAGCAGAAGACAGCTACACCGCCGTTTTGTGACATTTCCTGTGCTATTGCAACATGCAGATCAAGAAGCATTGGCTGTGCAAGAAAGTGTTGAGAGAATCCCTGCAGGCCCTCTATGTGAAAACCCAGCAGCAGCCGGCAGATTTTTTTAGAAAGCGGTTGGCTGAAGAACCTCATCGGCACTGTGCTAAGTTGTGCGATATGAGCCTCAACTAGGCTTACACATGAAGGGGGAGTTGGGAGGCAAGCAGGCTACTGCTTGAGGGGGAGTTGGGTGCAAATACTTAATGTTAACACTCTCAAGGATTATCTTGTCAAGCAGGGTGTTTTTCACGACACCCAGCTTTGAGGGGGGAACATGTGAGAGTACGACGACTTTGCTAAGTTTTACTTGCTCGATTTAGCTTTATCACGCATTATCTACATTAGCATGCTTTTGCTTGATTTCATATGTTTGTTGCGTTTACTATATTTTTTATACTTATACGCATCGAACTAGGTTGAGTGTACCGGATTCTAGCTTTTCAATTGCCTCCAAATTACATTCTACCGAATTCGGGAAGGTCCTGTTCGGAACGCTTCGCGACCCGCGGAATCTTCTAGTAACACCAAGGTTATTGCCTTTGTGTCGAGCCTATATATAGCCTTGTCTTGTACTCAGGTGACGAAACAATCATTTCTGAACCAGTTCCTTTGATCCTTACAGTCGATGTCGTCGCTGCTGCCAATACTGCTACTGCGGCTGCCGATTGGTTTGTAGGGAGAATTCTGAGTCGTAGGAGAACCGCTCGTGTCTGCTCCTTCTCAGCGCGTAACTCCGCGATTTTTTGTACAAAATTATCGCGAAATTCTTCCATTCGGCAATTTGCAGAAACATTTGCAGGCCGACTGCTGCGAAGTAAAACGATGTCAAAATTGTTCAGCGTTGATTCTGTACGTTGCGCAACTCTCCCTTAGTCAATTGCACGTCCGTTGAAAGAAATTCGATCCGACGCTCCAAATCCCAACCTTTTTAGCAAAACCTTCTCAGTTGAATCTCAACATTTTTTTGCAAAATAACATGAGGTGCATTCAGCAATTGAACTAAGTGGATTAATGTTGTGTGATGCTATCATTCGCATTCATGTCTGTCTGCCTCTCATCAAATGTTCGTGCGTTGCATGCGTGGTGTGAGCGTGTGCAAGAATTTGTGTTTGGTGTGGTTTGGATTTCTGAGAGCATGTAAATGTTATTTGGCTTGAGCAAATGTCTGAAGTGATTGCTCTGCTCAAGAGCTTTCCGACGAGCCAAGGATCGCTTCAATCGGAGCACGAACGAGAAAGTTACGAACGTCCGAAGTTCGTATGCTTTTCATGTTTGGTTGTGGCGACTATGGGAAGGTGTGGAAATGACTCCATAAGGGGTACAGACTTTTGAAGGTTGGGAAATCCATAACTCCTGCTGTAGATGCTGCCATGTGGTTATAAATTATAAATGAGAAAGTGAATGCATTGTAACATAAATATAGGTAGGCAGAGTCGTCGTACTCTCACACTCCACAGCGGGCTTTGGTACTACATTGGTAAGCGTTTATGCTGGAGGTGCTCGTAAAGAGGGAGCTGGTGTTGGGGGTGCTGGCGCTAGAGGTGCTGGTTCTAGGGGTGCTGGAGTTGGAGATGCTAGTGGTAGAGGGATTCGAGTCGAAGCTGCTGGTTCTGGGGGTCCTGTATTTGGAGGTCTTGGAGTTGGCGGTGTTAGCCTTAGGGGTGCTGGAGTTGGAGGCTCTGCTCAATGGCGTCTGCTCCGCCTGCTCCCTGTTACCTGACTCGTCTTTAACATCTCATGCAGCTGAAGTGGCAGGAGCTGGAGGAGGAGGAGGAAGAGGAGGAGGAGGAGGAGGAGGAGGAGGAGGAGGAGGAGGAGGAGGTGGAGGATGATGATGATGATGATGATGATGACGACGACGACGACGACGACGAGGAGGAGGAGGAGGAAGAGGAGGAGGAGGAGGAGGAGGAGGAGGAGGAGGAGGAGGAGGAGGAGGAGGAGGAGGAGGAGGAGGAGGAGGAGAAGGAGGAGGAGGAGGAGGAGGAGGAGCAGCAGCAGCAGCAGCAGCAGCAGCAGCAGCAGCAGCAGCAGCAGCAGCAGCAGCAACAGCGGTGGCGGCAGCGGCTGCGGCGACGTCAGCAGCTACGGCGGCAACAGTAGCAGCGGCGGCAGTATAAGCAGTGGACAGCGCAACAGCCACTCGTATAGCGATCGTCGCCACCTGCTAGTGATCTTCGGGCCTTTGGTCCTTTCTCTCCTTCTAACTGCTCATGGTCTCCTCCTGCTTACGGCCCAGCGTTTCCTCTTTCAGACGCAGCTCCTGATCTCTCTCTCCTCCTTGGTGATAGCCGTGTCCTCCTGTTGTTTAGTCTCCTTTGATTGTTCGTCGTCTCCCGAACGCTTGTCATTCGCCTCCTGTTCAGGACCTCTATTCTCTTTTACATCGTCGTTTTGGCCATCCTCATTCCCCGCCTCTATTTTCAGCTCTCACTGTCGTCTCATTGCCTCTCATTAACTACCACTGTCTGGGTAGCCTTGTTGTCTCACTTGTTCTAGCCTCTCTTGTCATATATCTTACTGCCTCTCCGGCGTCTGTCTCAGCTCTAATTGTTGCCGTCACTAACTTTTCCGCTAGCCGCCACCTTGACTATGCCACATACATGGTGGCTACCCCTCTTACGTTGGGGGGTGAGTCTTTCCTTGGTTGTGATGTCCTAGAGGACAAGCACTTTAATCTGGAACTCTTGGCAATCCTTTCACTCCTTCTATGTGCCACGCCTCTAGATCATGAAAGACCCCAACGCTCCAAATATATGCTAAAGCAGTATCAGGATTGTGGGCTTCTAAGTGGATAGCAGCCATGCATGCAGAGATGTCTTCTTGGAGCTCCACAGACACGGATGTCGACGCAGTCCCCTCTGAAGGTGAACAAAGTCGATGCCATGTGATTCTTCAAGGTAGAGCAACCGCCTTGAACACCGACTGTCTTCAAAGCGCACTATGTGGCTAGAGGCTTCAGTCAATGTGAGGGGGTAGACTTCTATGGACCTTCTCCCCCTCTTTGAACATGACAACTCTCCGGGTACTATTACGCAATCGGTCCCTGGACTTCTCTACTGCCTTTCGTCCGTCGTTGTCTAGAGCTTCGTCCAGTGCTGAGGGCGAGATCTACGCCGGTACCATGGCTGCTCAGGAGCTCCGCTGGCTCACCTTCATTCTCACAATCTAGGTGAGCGGCGTAGCTCTGTATGCAACTTGTTCAATAACAACAAGGCCATGATTCTCCAGTGTCGATAGCCTCGACTTGGGAGCAGAGTGAAACACAACCTGCTGCGAGAGTGTGGCAACGCGGCCAAGGGCACTTGGCCTCAGCGACAACAATGCAAACATCATCACAAAGGCCCTCCCGCCTGGTGATCATCACAGGTTCTACTCATGGCTTCCCCTTGTTAAGACATGCCCTTGTTTGTTGTAGACTTGCCCCTGGTTGTTTGTTGTCTATATATATTCATTTTATGTTTTTAATTAACGTTGTGGATGGTTGTCTCGGACACTGGCTAGTCAAACCACCCTAAGTTGCATCTCTTGCTTTGTTGTTTTTCATGACTAGTCTTGAGACCTCGTCTTGGTCATTTTGTTGGCCCTCACTTAGCCTATGGGGGTGTGTCCCTTAGCTTATAATAAATTTATGCGTTTGATATATTAGGCTTTAGTGAGATGCATAGTATAAGGTACAACACTTGCTCCTAACTTTTTCGACTTGTACTCATCTCGCTGCTAGGCGAAAAAAACTTCGGCTATTATGAAAATACGGTACTAGCTGGGCAAATGTGCACCATTTATTGTTGTAACAATAATAACTATAGTAGTCAATATGTTTTAAACACCCCTAAACTGTTTGCAGCTAGAACTAGGGCAAACACCCCATGAACGCGTTCACCGTTGTAGCAGGAGAAGGCAAAATCTGAGAAATGTGCAGCAGAAGATGCAGCGGCAGGCAGGTACAGCAGTGGCAGATGGAGCAGCAGCAGATGCGGCTGCGGCAAGTGCGGTGGTGGCAGGTGTGGCAGCTGCAGCAGGCAGCAGCAGCAGGTGCAATAATGGCAGGCGCAGCAGCAGTAGGCGCGGTGGCGGCAGGTGCGGCGTCGCCAGGTGTGACAACGACAGGTGCAACGACAACAGTTGCTGTGCGTCGGTAGTTGAAGCGAGGGTAGATGCAATGGAGGTATGAGACGAGGAGGAGCTGCAAGAAAAGGGGAGACAGAGATATGAGGAGGAGGGGCATGCTCATCGTCTATCTCCCCCCCCCCCCCCCCCCCCCCCACCCACAATCGCTGCAGGCGGGAGGTTGGGTGGCGGCTGGCATTGTAGGCTCACGGTCGCCACCCTGCAGCCTCCCGCCCACAACGGCAGCCTTGGTAGGGCATGGCAAGTGTGGCAGGCGAAACAGATGGCAGCAACCCTTTGTCTGCCATGATTGCCACCCCTGCCTCCTCACCCACAACGGCAGTTGCGGCTAACATGGTAGTGGCAAGCGAGGCCGCGACAGCAGGCGCGGGCGTGGTTGTAGGTGCAACTGGGCAAGGTGTGAAAGCGGGGCGCGGCAAACCTGCAGCTGGGACGTGTTGGGGCCATGGTTGGGGTGTGACTGCGGAAGGGGGGAGAGACAGGGAGGGAGGGGGGGAGAGGGGGTGGAGAGGGGGCTATGACTTAGAGCCTAGCTCAATACTATGTAAGAATATGTACTTATAATAATTGTAGCCAGGGAAGATACGGGAGATTAGGAACAATAATAAGGGTGGTTTAAAATGAGAAGTAGAAAGAAATATAAGCATTAGAAATGTGCACAGTGCACACCCAACAATTGTAATCGTAATACTGTAGCTATTATAGGCTATGCAACAAGCAATGCATATATATGTATCTATAATTAACAGAATTAGAACTATCATAGAAGAATCTCTTAGTGAATTATTATCACCCTGCATCTTTTAATGTGCTTATCGTGAAGAAGCGAGTTATATGTACAGATTTTACTTGTTCAAACGTTATTTATTGTATTTGTAGCTTATCAGTTTCTGAGGGTATGATTTGTCTCGTCTTGTGCAGTCCGGAGGGGCTGCCGCGATGGCGACCCTTGCTGTTAGCATGAGGCAGATCGGATCCATCCGTCCATTCCATCTGCCTCTTCGTACCCTGCCTCGGACAGCCTGCCCAGAGGCACGACGAAGCATGAATAGGGGAAAAAAAGCATCTTGCTGAATAATTACTTTCAAAGAATAACGCCTTTCAATCTTCTGGGACGGAGAAAATTGAAGCTTCAGCAGTTTGTTTTAGAGGTGTCAGCTGCTGGTTCGGGCAACTGAAAGTGTTTGGCTTTCTCCGAATGCTCCCAACAAGTGACGGTTTTTTTTTTATACAACAGATAACGCAAAACACCCTCGGTCGTAACCGAATTGATTATGCGAATTGCTAGGAAAATCGCAAAGTGACAAACGTAATCACAATTCGTCCCACTTTTTGTTTTAGTAGGGAGTGTCATTATGTACACACAGGTTTACAGCTGTCTATGTCAGGACTGGTATGCACTATGGAATACACCTAAAGTAAAGCAGGATTAATTGCATCCATTTCTATATTCTTACAGGGTAATCACATATTTATAACTGGGTAGATCTATGACGTGCAAACTCAGGATATTAAAAGGGTAGATAAAGTTAATATAGAAAACCAATTCGTCAAAACGCGTATTATTCCGTTTTTGCTGCCCTTACCGCCCACCTCTGGCCCCTTCGCTTCCTCAAAGGCCAAGCCAACTACATTTGCTGCTGTTGAAATCCTCTTCTGCTCCGCCATTCCTCCCACCCAGCACTACGTTTCAATCTAGGCCAGATGACCGTTCATCCTAGTGTGCGCCTCGGAAGTGAGGGCATGGCGGTGACCTTTTGTCGCAATCGCAGTAATGCCGTTGGGATGCGATTGAGCATTTTGGCCCGTGACCCAAACGGCCGCTGCTTCCCTCGAGGAGCCTCGTTCCAACCTGGCCCCCCTCCCACACCAAAGGGAGGGCGGCTGGTCATCGTCTTGGCCAGAGCAAAACGAGCATGTGAGCTTTTGGCACGCATCGCTCTCCCCTTCCTATCGAGCACCGGACAAGCCTGGACGGCATTGGCTCGCGGAATAACCATATTGCACATCGCATTGCTTCAGAATCCGTTTATGCTCGTGAGCATGTTATAGCAGCCGCGTCGCCATGGTTCCGAAGAGCGACTCTGCCACGATGGTGCCGCACGTGCGGCGGTGGGTGCGCCACCATTGGCTCCCCTCGCCCGCCGCCGCCACTCCCCCATGCCAAACGCCCTCGCCGCCCCGACAGCATCCTAGCAGTACTACGACTACGACTCTCCCTAGTGATATCAGCCGCCACGGCGCTGAAGCCACCACGCTAGAGCGGCGACGGGAGGTAACAGGGGGAGCGGATGATCGTTGTGAAAAGGCGGCCGCGGGGGGCTCACAGTTAGCCGCACTCCTCGCATCCCCAACCAGCCTCCCCGTGCCCCTCCCGTTTAGTTCGCGACTCGATTCTCCACCCGTCGGAGCGGACCAACCACACGGTGCCACGTCAGTTGAGAGCCCCGCTCGTCTGGTAACCACCGCCTTGTCGCTGGCAATGCCGCTGGCCATGAGGGGCGGCACGACGTGGCAGGCGGAGGGCAACACGTCAGGACGTTCGGCGGCAAGCGCCAGCAGCGCGGAGTGGAGCCCCCCGCGGGGCGCGCTCTTTGCCGGGGAACTCGGGGGCGGCAATGCGGAGCGGCCTGCGGGGGGGGCGGAAGGGAGGCGACGGAGCGGCGCGAGCAGCAACGAGAACGGTGAGGCTCGTTCGGACGACAAGCGCCCCTCGGAGCTCTCACCGGCGCACGCCGCCAACGCAGCTGCGCCCGTTGCCTCGTCGCGCCATGTGCGCTCATCCCCATCGCGCGCTCACTCCCCCGCCGCCAACGACGGCGCGCCCACGCCCCCCGCACCTCCGCTGCCCCACGCGCACAGCGCTGGCAGCCCCCGCGAGAGTACTGATAACGACTCCCGATGGTGGAAGCACGGAGGGCCGTCGGGCGGAGGATGGGGCCTTGGACGCAGCCGGAGCAGCAGCGGAGCCAACCATCCGCGCGCCGGCGTGAATGGCAGGGGCGGGAATAGCGCACCGAGCTGTGCCGGGAGCGGTCTCGGTGGCGGTGGCGGGAGCGGAAAGGTGTGGTGGTTGGGGTATCGGCGGGACATCGGCGCGGACTACGACATCGGGGACCTCGTCGCACGCGGGCGCACGGGGGAGGTGCGCCGAGCCACGGCGCGCAAGGGCGCGCGGAAAGGGCGGCGGGGGAGGGCGGAGGAGCGGGAGCCGCCGGTGGTGGTGAAGACCATTTGCAAGGCGGAGGTGCGGTGCGGTGCGCGGGGTGAGAGGCACGGGAGAGACGTTTGCGGGAGGGGGGTAAAAGGCGGGAGAGAGGGGGGATGGGTGGGAAAAGGGGAACTTGTTTGGGGGGAAGTAGCAGACGGTGTGGGCTTCAGCACGCGCAGCAGTGCTGGTCGAACTCGCATCTTGGCGTGGGTCGTGTCATGTGGCGTCGCCGCTCTGCCGTTCTCTACTCCTCCCACTATTCTCCCGCTACGCGCTCGTGCATGGCACAGTGCCATGGGGTTAGATTCGAGGCCACCGCATGTCGCACGGCACGCAGAGAGCTGCGGTTCCGCTCCGCCATCACGCGTCCCGATGCGCCACTTCCGGAGCGATGCCCGTCGGTTCCCTCCGGCGACCGCCCCTCTCACCGCGTGCTCCCGAGCCGCGCGTGTCCGCCTCGCGCCCCTCACCCTCGCGCCCCTCCACCCGTCCTCCCGTTCCCCCGCATCCAATCCGCGCAGCTCACCACGGACGAGTCGCGCGAGGCGGTGCGGCGCGAGGTGGCGATTCAGCGCATGCTGCCGGCGCACGAGCACGTGGCGGCGCTCGTGGGCGCGTACGAGGACCACCGCAACGTCTACCTCGTCGTGCAGTCAGTGAAGCCGCGCCGCGCCGCGCGCGCTCCGCTCTCGCCACTTGCGCACCGCCCTGTTTACACTTTCGAAGCACTCGCAGCGCCGTTGCTTACTGTTTCCTCCCCTCGCGCAGTTGGACTCTAACGCCCTGCGCCCGTGCTGCGACATGGGCGGCGTGTGGTGTGGTGTGGTGTGGTGTGTGGCAGGGAGTGCGAGGGCGGCGAGCTCATGGACCTCATGATGGCGTCTGGGTGAGTCAGCGGCAACGTGCAAAGAAACCATGGCTTTCACTGTAGCTTCTCGGAGCAAAGCGGCTGCTTTTGTACAGCAGGAAAAAAAGAAAATTTACCAGTATCAGCTTCAAGAAAATAAAAGAACAGGAAAGGCTTTCGCTGTGTTAATGAAGAAGAGGCAATCAGAAGTCATAGTCACGACCAAGGTAAGGTCCCATAGGTTGGTCCCTTGGACGTCACAACCGTCGTGCATTTACAACAGCCACATCCTCCCACATCAGATTTTTTTTCTTGTTCTTCAAACTGCGTTTTGGAAAAATTGCCTGCGCCATTCTGGTTTATATCCACCCACTTTTTTAACTGGTTGTTATATTTTCCTCTTTTTTTTCATGGCCATGCTGCCGCACTGTGGTCCATCCAAGCACTCATGCGTTTCCAGGGCTCCCACCCTCATCGCCTCGCTCCCACCCCCCGGCCCCCCAATCCAATCCGCCCTCGCACTGGCCATTTATCCCGTTGGTGTGCACGGGTGTGAGCGCAGCGTGGGGCATGCGGGCGAGGCGGCAGCGCGGCACGTGGTGTGGCAGGTGCTGCAGGCGCTGGCGCACTGCCACGCGCACCTGGTGGTGCACCGCGACATCAAGCCCGAGGTCAGCACACGCCCATGGGGTACCACCACCACAGGGCAGCGGGCAGGAGGGCATGCGCGCGTCATTGCCGCATGGCTGGCCCTGCCACAACGTTACGCCCGAGGCGGGGGGGGAGAGCGAGGGATGGGGAGCGGAAGAGGAGGTGTTTCTTGGTGCAGCAGGGGGCGAGGGGATGTGCAGGTGCAAGCGCAGCACGTCATTGCCACATGGGCCTGCCCCACAAGCTGCTCACTTATTCCCTCCCTGCTCCCCCCTCCCTGCTCCCCCCTCCCCACCCACTTGGATGCTCCCATTGCACAGAATGTTCTTCTAGCCAAGAGCAGCAGCAGCAGCAGCAGCGGCGGCGACCATGACCTCCCCCACGTGAAGCTCATAGACTTCGGCCTGTCGGTGCTGCTGCCGCCCCTGCCCCTCTCCGCCTGCCCTGCGCTCACCCCCTCGTCTGCTGCACGCCTTACTACCGCTCACACCGCCACAGCAGCAGCCGCGAGCAGTCCCATGCACACGGAACTGCAAGAGCAAGACCAGCAGCACCACCAGCAGCAGCAGCCATCCCAACCAGTCTCCAGTATTACCTTTAAACCGCCCGCCCCCGCGCCGTGCCGTGCTGCCAAAACCTCCCTATCCTCACTGCCCCCTCTCTGCGTGCCACTGCCGCACCTGCACCAGCCGCTGTGCGAGCTGGTGGGGTCGCAGGACTACCTGTCCCCGGACGTGCTGCGCGGCGCCTACGGCACGCCCAGCGACCTCTTCTCCCTCGCCTCGCTCGCCTACCTGCTGCTGTGCGGCCGCCTGCCCTTCTCCCCGTCGCCGCGCTGCCTGCGCGCCACCATGCACGCCGTTGCCACGCAGCCAGCCGGGTTCACGGAGAGCGCGTGGGGGGGGGCAGGGGAGGCGGGGATGGGCGTGGGGAGAGGGGCGAGTGTGTCGGTGGAGGGGCGGCACGCGGTGCAGCGGCTCATGGCCAAGGACGCTGCCCTCCGCCCCACCGCTGCCATGATGCTCTGTGCGTTGCGTGCGTGGTGAATGGGGGTACTGTCCTGCCATGGACAACAAGGGGTCGCGCATGATCTGCGCGTGGGAAGTGCTATTTGGTTGGGCAAGGTGCAGGGGATGGCGGGAGCAGTGCGGATGGGCCCGTTGTGTGCGTGCGTTACTGTAAATAACAGAACTTGTGCAACCTCTCAGCGCGCCCCCTTCCCCACCCTCCCTGCGCCTCCCATGCACGCCTTGAGTGAGGCCACCCCTGGTGGCATTGCCTCCACCGCCAGTGCGGCGCCTAAGGAATCTCACCCCTGCCCTGCCCTCCCCGTTTCCCCTCGCCGCTGCCCTTGATGCACGCCCCCAGGCCATCCCTGGTTCCATGAACTCCACAGCCGTCCCGCACTGCACGCCCCCACGCCTCCTGCCACTGCGACTGCCAGGATGCCTGCAAGTCCTGCCACGCCCCTAGACCCCTGCGTGCCGCTGTGCCTGCTGCACGTGCTGGCACTGCCTGCCACGCACAAGCACCACCTCCAGGTGAGCAGACTCCTCACCACTCCCTCGCTCCACTGCTGCCACCCGCCCAGCCTCACAGCACTCGCAGTGCTTGTCACTGGCTTCTCCAATACTCGCCTCCATCCTCAGCGCTGCTCCTTGGTGCAACCTACTGCCCTCGCACAGCACCATCACTCCTCTCATGCTACATCGCCTTCCATGCCCGCGCCTTGCCCCGCAACTCCACGGCTTCCTTCCCCTGCCCCCGCCACCATCATCCTGCCCCTTCCCTCTATCTGCATCTTACCTACCCCCCCCCCCCCCTTCTGCAACCCCAGTGCGAGGCCGTGCAGCTGTGCAAGGACCATGCATGGGTGCGCCTGTATGCGCACGTGCAGTGCCGGCACCTGCTGGGCGTGTGGCCGGGGGACAGCATGCAAGTGGAGCAGGGGGGTGAGAGCGTGAGCGTGTCGATATCGCACGTGCACAAGGTGGGTTGCACCGCCTTGCTTGCACCTGGACCGCACCACGTTGCATGCTTGCACGCAGCACGCACACGCATTCCCTGCCATCGCTGCCTGCGTATGTCTACTCCCGTGCGACTCCCTTGCTGCTGATCGGTTTTGCAGGATTCTGGTGCGTGCCATGCCACGCCATGCCATGCAATCACATGCCAGTGGTGCTGTGCTGTACATGCAGGTGCTCTCCCTCTCTGCGTGCAAGTCCCTCGCGGACTCCTTCCTCAAGCAGGTGACCCATCACTCATGCGCCCCTCATGTCTCGCCACTACGCTCTGCATGTCCCTCGCAACCAACCCTATCCTCTGCTCTGCACCGCATGCCATGCCATGCCATGTCAAGGCTCTCTCGTGCGCGGAGCACAGCTCATTAGCTCCTGTTGTGGGTGGTGTGGTGCGTGCAGGTGTCACGACTGGGACTGAAACGAGCACGAGCAACGCAGTTAGATGTGTTGATGGCAGCAACTTTGGTTATGTTACCCTGTTTGTCCTAGTTCATGATGTTTAGTATATGTATTCGCAATCCTCTAGAAGCCAAAAGGGCATCTCACGGGGATGTGGTGAGAATCAATGAAGCTGAGTCAATCTAATCATAGGCAAGGCGGAGGTCATTGCGCGTTGTGCATCAAGTTTGTAAAGTTCATCCGTAGTGGAGCAGGATTCCACAGGGTGCACTGCACTGCACTGCACACCGTTCTAAACCTTGACGTACAAGAATAGCAGGGAATGGACTGTAAACAAGACACGTTGTACAAGCCGAAGTAGAAAGCGCTCTTAGGGCGTGTAAGATCCCCGTGCACACAGAATCGGCCATCAAAATTAGGTGGCCGTAACGAAAGTAACCATTTCGTGACTGGTTTGCGAATCTCGTCGATTTCGGCCATCAAAATTGTGATTTGATGGCCGAAAAACCCAGTCGACTCTTTTCCGACGCGTGGTCGACTTCAAATCGGCCATGCTGTCGACAACAGCTGGCCACAGTAAAAAACGAAGTCGCATACGCTGCTACAGTGAGATTGCGACGTCGCATACATGTATGCGACGTCGTCGCACCAAGTCGGAAAAAAAGACAAACCGAAATCTTCCACCTGTTATTCGGCCAGCAAATCCGTGTCATATTTGGAGGCCACATTGAGGTGGCCGAAAATTTGTCGGCCTGGTGACGACTCATCCGTCGACCTTCGCGAAAGCTTTGTCGACCAAAATGGTCGACAAAATTCAGCCAAAACGTGTGCACGGGGATCTTACACGCCCTTAGAGAGTTAGTAGAAAGCAATTCGGAACCAGTTTCAGTGCTGTCACCACCTCCCCTCACATCGCACGTGAAGCCCCGCTCCGCTGCAAGCGTTCGCCACTCGCCACTCCACGGTCGGATACCACTCTCGTGCGCACAACACCACTCTCCCTGCGATCGTCGTCGTCCTCGCTCGTCCCACAGCGCCCCGGGTAGATTGGGAAAAGCCCGGGGTCCCGTCTTCCCTTCCCGCACGCGGCTCTGCTCCGCACGCCCCGCTCCGCCATGCCGTCGTCCTACCCGCTCCCCGCCACCACTCGCCCCCCCTCGTCCGCCGCCGCCCCCCCGTTTGCCAGGGATCGGGCCGCAGGCGCGCCGGGATCGGCGGAACCGGGCGGGGCGCGGGGCGGCGAGTGGGACGGCCGCGGGCGGGAGGTTGCGCAGCGGGGGGAGCCGCAGCGTGGGGGCCCCGCGGAAGCAGAGCGCGAGGCGACGTTCGAGGAGCGCGTGGCGCGCAGCATCCTGGTGGACGAGCTGTGCCCCGCCGTGACGCCCGCGGCGCTGCAGAGCGCGCTGGGGCAGTTCGGGTCCGTGCGCAGCGTGCAGATGGTGCCCAACCTGCTGCACCCCCGCCGCTCGTCCGGCTGCGCCGTCGTGGAGCTCGACTCGCGCCACCTCGCGCTCAAGGTGCGCGCGCGCGCAACAGCGCCTCCCGTTCTCCCCCCACCTCTCCCTCCCCTCTCCCCCTGACAACTTCGCCCACTTCCTCGTTGGTGTCTGCCCGATGGCCACTCCCTGTTTCTCTATCGACTCCAACCCACTGCTGCTGGCGACTTGTGCGACAGGACGTCACCGCCGCCTTTATTCCCTCGCGCTCTCTCGCTCTCCCCTCGCTTTTCTACCGCCCTTATTCCCTCTCCGCGCGACGCGCGCCCGCCCCGCCCCTCCGCGCCAGATGATCGCGGACATAAGCGAGTCGATCCTGATCGTCGGCGCGGGCCCCCGCCCCGTGCGCGCGGTCAAGGCGCGCGCAGACATGTTCGACGGCGCGTTCGTCTTCCCCTCCGCGCTGCACGCCGCCGCGCTCCCGCAATCCGCGCCCGCCGTCACTTCCGCCGCCGGCGCGCACAGCTCCCCTCTTTCCGCCGCGTCCGCCCTCCCGGGGTTCCGCGTCACGGACGCTGCGGGAGAGGGCGCGGCGGGAGGGGCAGCGGGCGGGGGAAGCGGCGAGGGGGGTGGCGCGGGGCAGGGGAGGTGGCGGTGGCGGCTGACTGTGATGGAGGAGAGGCAGCGGGGGGGTGGCGGAGCTGGGGGGGGAGAGGGCGCGGTGAAGAAAGCAGGCGGAGGGGGAGGCGGAGGGGAGAGGGGAGTGGGGGCGGTGGAGTGGCAGAGGGCGCGGAGGTGGAAGGAGGTGGCGGGCAGGCAGGCAGAGGAGATGAAGATGCTGTTCGAGGTGAGGCGAAGGGAGGGGGGGTATGGGAACGATCAAGCACGCTGAGTGGCCGGGCAGGCAGGCAGGTGAAGCGCCTGCTGCTGTGCTGATGGTGGTGGTGGTGGGCTCAAGTGTCGAGCATGCATGCTCTGTACTGTGGCAGCCTTGCCGTGTGCCATGCGCACCGATTGTAGCCGCACCGTGTCCACTCGCGCTGCCTGTTTCTTTTCCATGCCACACACTGCCGCTTGTACAACACATGTCCCCCCCTGCCTGCCTCTCGACCATCCACATTTCCCGATCACCCCTCTCCATCCCTTCCTCACCGCAACATCCTCCCCCCTCCCTCCCGCACCGCCCCACCCCTCCACCCGTTCCCCCACTCGCCTCCCCCACCCCCCCCCTCCCCCCCCGTGCGTGGGCATGGGAGCAGCACGTGGAGGCGGAGAAGCAGCAGGTGGGGGAGAGGCAGCGCGCACGCGTAGAGGAGGACCTGCGGCGCCTCACACTCATTGACCACGCCATGGCGCCCAATGGGGGCATTGCTCAGCTGCGGCACTTCTATGGCATGCCGCACATGGACTGGAACACCATGTGACTGCACGGATGGGAATGTGGTACCATGTGTGCATTGGCGCACACACACCCCTTCTAGAGGGTTCTTCAAGATTTGTAATAGTAATTCATGGTGCTGCTGCTGTTGCAGTGGGCTGCAACCAGTTGTCTGTGTTTGTGCCCTGTGCTTTTGATTCTTTCATAACCTCCTAGATCAAATATAAATTTGTTCATCAGTCTCCCAATCGTTCACGAAGCGCTATAGCGCGCCATTCCTTCCACGCTGTGTCGGCCCATGGAAGTAGCGCATGGGGATTGCTTGAAGCACGCAGCAGCGCAACTGCACTTCGCTCCGCTCGCATGCCTGGGCACGGCACGACAGGATCTGGCTGGAGGTTATTGCCCAATTTCGCTCGCCAACTCTCATCTGGCCTTCAAATTCCTTCTCTCCCCTGGTCGTACTGCCGCACCTTGCAGTTTCCACCGTCGTACCAGCACCATAATCCTGATTTGCACGGTACGCGACGGTCGGCAGCGGATTTCCTAGGCCCGATACTCGATCACCCCTCAGGTACGCCCATGCGTCGCCATGCCTGCGCAGCTGCGCCCGTATTCACTCCCTCTGCCCACTGAGTCCTCTCCGACTCATCCGCCTGCGGGGCTTGAGCTGCGCCTGGGATCAACCAGTACCCTAGAGCGCCGCTCGCATGCCATCAATCCGCCCGTCCCGTCGCCGCCGAATCGACCCAAGTGGGTTTGGAGTCGCTTAAGAGTGATTTCGCGCAAGGCCGTCAGCGGCTGTGGAAGAGAAGTGTTGGCTACCGTTTAGCGTGTCGCCTGTGCGGGATTCGCTTCGACGGGATTAGCGTGTCGCGAATATTGAGATCCGTTCAGATCTGATTCTGCTGCAGCCGTGCATCGCGTGAATTTGCGGTGCTTGATCTCCACTCCTGCTGCATCGCCTGCACCTCGTGTCGTCGCGCGCTCTAAGTGGCGATTTCTCTTCCGTTCAGATTGAAAATAGCCCTCACCGCGACAATAGCCGGCCTACCGTCGAAGCCCTACCGGGTGCTTCTCCCGCAGCGCGCTCCTTGCCCCGTGTCTCCCGCACAGTCGCATCCCCTGCTTCCTTCCCCCGACACTTCACTTGTTCCGCACATCTCCGCGCATCCGCTTCCTTTTCTCCCCGTCCCTTCGCCCGGGGGCTTCAATTGTGCCGCCCATCGTATCACTGCCAATCCCGTCACCGCTCTCCTCTTCCCCCCTCTCTCCCCTTCCCCCCCATCTTTCCGCTCTCCCCCCGCCTCTCCGCTGTTCCCCGTCTGTCCCTCCCCGCGCACCAGCTCCCCCGCCCTGCCGCCATGTCGTCGTCCGCGGCGCCCGACGACGATCTCGTCTCCAATTTCTGCGCCATCACGGGCGCCGCGCCCGACCAGGCGCGCTTCTTCCTCGACAGCAGTGCCGGCGCGCTCGACGCCGCCATCTCCGCCTTCTACGACCACGGCGGGGACGTTAGCCGCCGCCGCCGCCGCCGCCGCTGGCGGGGCCTCCGGGGACGACGAAGACGACACCGGCAGCCGAGGCGTCGCAGCGGCCGTCGCCGCCGCGCCGCCGCGCGATCCGCGTGCTGCGGCGGCGGCGGCGGCAGCGGCGCGTGCGGGCGGGGCGGCTGTAGGTGGCGCCACGAACCCAGCGATGACGTCACAGGCGATGTTTTCCGCGGGAGGCGCGGAGGAGGGCGGGGAGGAGGTGCAGCAGCGGCAGCCGCGGGTCACTGCGCCCATCGGGGGACCGTCCGGGGCGGCGGGGGGAACTGGCGGAATCGGAAGATTTGTGGGGGAAGTGGGGAAGGGGAAGGGGAGTAAGAGAACGGGGCGCGGCGGGGGAGGGGGAGGGGGAGGGGGAGGCGGGCGGATTCGGACGCTGGGGGATATTGGGAGGCGGAGGGACGAGGATGAGGAGGAGGACGATGAGGATTATGAGGATGATGATGATGACGACCGGGAGGAGTATTATGCCGGGGGGGAGAAGAGGTGCGCGCGCCCTTGCCTGCTGTTGCCCTCGTGGGCCTTGCCATCTCTCACCTTCGCGCTCATCGTGCATGCTCGCCTCTTCCCTGCTCCTCCCTCCCTCCCTCCCTCCCTCCCTCCCTCCCTCCCTCCCTCCCTCCCTCCCTCCCTCCCTTCCTCCCTCCCTCTCCCGTCCCTCCCTTTTGATTCCCCACTTCGCTCTCTGGTGCCAGATTTCCATGCCCTTCCCCCCCCCCTTCCCCCACCCCCACACCACCCGCTCCCCTTTTCTCAAATCTCCCCTTCCTCCTTCACTTCTGTGCAATTCTCATTATTGCCGCCCTCCAATTCCTTCTCAATCCCTCCATCTTCCCGTCCCCCTTTTCCTCCCCCTGTCCCCCTTTCCCCTACCGCCCCTCGCCATCAGCGGAATAGCGGTGCAGGACCCCAACAAGCGCAGGGGACCGGGCGGGTTGGCGGCGCGGGGGGGCGGGGGCGGGGGTGCGCTGGACGTGGACGACATCTTCGCGCGCGCGCAGCAGCAGGGCGCGCGCCAGGGCACCTCCGCGGACCTCGACGCGGGCGCAGGCGCAGGCGGGGGCGCGCGGAGAGGCGCGGGCGCGTTCAGCGGAGTGGGGAGGACGCTGGGGGGCTCAAGCGGGGAGGGGGCAGGGGGAGGCGCGGGCGCGGAAGCTGCGACAGGGCAGTCGCAGGGGGGGTTGGCGGGGGAGGGGGGTGGGGAGGGGGGCCGGCGGGTGGTGCGGCACACGGTGACGTTCTACCTGAACGGGTTCACGGTGGACGACGGGCCGCTGCGCCAGCTGCACGACCCCGCTAACGCTGCCTTCCTCAAGGTGCTCTCCCCCCCATCTCTCCGCCTCCATGCTGCTGCCCCGGGCCGCCTAGGCCCGGCCCGCGCCCAGCCCCTTGCCACGGCACTGCGCCCCGCCACGCGCTTGTGGCCTGCCTTGCCATTCCGCCCTGTCCTTTGGGACCCACCACTGCTCTGCTCATCCGCCGTGCTGCTCCTCCACTCCACCCTACCCACCCATCCCCGCCCCTTTCTTCCACCTGCTCTCCCCTGCTCCACTGCTGTACTGGTGTTCCCTCTCTCTCCCATTCCATCCCCAACCCCCTCTTGCCAATGTATGCTGCCACTACTACTTCTAATGCTCGTCCGCTTCTCCCTGCCCTGCTTGCCATCCCTGCCTCCCCACGTCTCACTCCATGTCTCGTGCTCTTTTGTTCTTTACTTCCGAGTTACCTGCAAGGCAGTCAGTGCACCTTTCTCATTTGCTTCCGCCCTTCCACCACTCAGCTTCCCAGCTGCACCCCCTCTTCTCTACTCCTCTTCTCGACTCCTCCTCTCGACTCCTCCTCTCAACTCCATTTCTCGACACATCTTCTCGACCCCTCCTCTCAACCTCTCGTTTCAGCCGCTTCTCAACCCCTCGTTCCTACCCCTCGTCTCGCCCCCTCGTCTCAAACCCTCCGTCTGTCCCTTCTCTCTCTCCCCACGCACCCTCCCTCCGCCTCTCTGCTGCTGGCACCCAATCCCCCAACCGCGCTCCGCATATGCCCACGCACCCACATGCGCCGATCCCCTCCCCCCCAGAGCATCCTGGAGCGCGGCGAGTGTCCGCGCGAGCTGCAGAGCGCGGACCCCAACGAGGACGTCGAGCTCAACCTGCTGCGCAACAACTCCGAATGGACGGTGGGGGGGATACATGGGGGACACGGCACGGGGGGGGGTTGAGGGATAGATGGAGGGACGGCACGGCCAAAGTGGCGGAAAATGGGGGAAGCGGGTAGACGGCAGGCAGGGGCTAGAAGGGGAGGACGGTTGAGAGAGGGTGGGGGAGGGGGGTGCCTTGAAGTATGGGAGGTGTGGGAAAGCTACTGCATGCATTTTACATCGCAGCTGCTTTATCTTGCAGTTTGAACCGTCATTGTACCTGGCCCCTTGAATGAAACTTTAGGGGGAGGCATGCAAGCATATGGGAGAAAGTGCGGGCATGATAGCAGTCCCCTCCTCCCTCTGTTTCCACACCCCTTGGCCCTGCCCCTGCGTGTGTGCCCACTGGTGCAGCCCCCCCCAGAGCCCAAGTACGTGGCGTTCTCAGGCCAGGGCCGCACGCTGGGGGATGGCGCTGCCTCTGATTCACAGCCGCCGCCACAACCCCCTGCTGCTGCTGCACCTGCTGCCACTGGCCCCACCAACCCACAGGCCCCTGCTGGAGGTGACATGCTTGCCGCACTGCACCCGCTGCTCCCCCTCTCACCCCCCGCCCTTCACTGCTGCTTCTCGTCTTGTCCCTGCTTGCAGCATTCACCCCCCCTCCCCTCCGTGCCCTCCGCCACCATTCTTTGTGCCATGCTGCTTGCACTTTGCCAGTGCGGCTGCTCTGAGCATTCCCTGCCCATCTGAGGATGCCACCCGTCCGTCCACATGTGGACGCCTTTTTGCCTCCCAGTAGCACACCTCAAGCCTCCACCGCTATCCCCCTCTGCCGACTGCCCTCCTCCGCACGCCACACGTCCCCTCACCTCTCCAATCACCCTCCCACCCGCCCTCGTACCCCCACCTTGAAACCCACCTTCCCTCCCCGCCCCTGTTCCCTTCCCTGCCCCCTATACAGGGTTGCAGGTGGATGAGGCGCAGCCGGTGACGTCGATCCAGGTGCGGCTGGCGGACGGCACGCGGCTGGTGGCGCGCTTCAACCACTCGCACACCGTCGCGCACATCCGCGCCTTCATCGACGCCGCGCGCCCCGCCGGCACTGCCACGCGCCGCTACTCGCTGCAGACCATGGGGTTCCCGCCCAAGCGCCTGGAGGATGAGAGCGAGACCATTGCCGCCGCTGGGCTCGTCAACTCCGTCATCGTGCAGCGGTGATGGTGATGGGGGGTGCGTGGGAGGTGGTTTGGGGGGATGAGGAGAAAGTGGTGGTTTTAGGGAAGAGAGGGCACTTGTGAGTGGAGAGGTAGTGGGAGGTGGGGCAGAGAGGGAAAGCTATGCTGGGGGCTAGGTCAGGGCTCTGGTTAGAATTCTAGGCGCCCTTTCATGCAAGGCCAGTGTTGCTGGAGTACCTTTTCTACCGTATCAGTGTGGCGTATGTGGATCACTCTCTTTTTAACATGGTTACGGTATGATAAATTTTACCCATTTTCACATCAGCATGATATTTGAAAGACCCTTATCTTTTTTAGCGCGTTGACATTACCGTATAAGCCCTTAGGGGCATCCATTCGAGGTCATGTCAAAGTGTTCGCTTTCTTGCAATATCCTGACAACCCTATAAAATTTACCGTAGGTTTGGAAATCTTACTTTTGGCGTCTAGGAGGGTGGGGCACAAATACTGACTTGCTCCCATCTCTAGTATTAGAGTTTCCGCCTATGGTACCGGTACTAGAGCAATCCTTAAAATTATAATCAAGGAAGTCTTTTTCATCTGTAAATCTAATTGTAACGAAAATACTTGCACACGTTGCATCCTTGTCCACTTTCTTGGATACACCCTTTTTGCAACCGACGGATGCTGTGAATGACCAATAGTCTGCCCTCAGACAAACCTGCCATGACAGGCCACATGAATGACAAGCTTGACAGTGAGTGAACCTAGACGAGATGCAGAATAGTGGCAGGGGTCATAAGGGCAGCATACAGAGGTCAACAGGGATGCTTCTAAACAGTAAAATAACGTGTGGCACAATGAATAGTGTACCATGTACCAACAAGTCCACCACTTTGCACTTTCTTCCATTCCCACTTCTCTACCATGCCACACTCCTGTCCCTTTCCCCTCCCTCAAGCCTGCCGTAACCCCTCCCTGCCGCACTCCCCCTTTCCGTTTGCTAAGAAGTATCATCCCCACCTCCCAATCCTTACCTGCACTTGAGTGTTGCTAGGGATGGTGCTGGAGCAAGTAAGGCCGGGATTGTTGCGGAACAGCTCAGCCCTGTCAATTTCAGTTACATTCGCGCCCAGATCCTTGGTATTCTTTTTAAGAACCGCATCACACGAGTCTTGTGCTGTCAGCATGCCGTATCTCAGACACTCAGGGACAGTGTAGGCCAAGGCAGGGCTGCGCTCGATGCACACTGACTGGCCTGCCTTGAGGCCCGTCGGTGAACAGTCGAGCCCGGGGTTGAGCTTGGTACGTTCTTTTTCACTCAAGCCGAGCTTCTTACTCATGGTTGAACAGGTGTCACCCTAGGGGGTCAAGACAACGCAAGGGAGAGTGCACACGTTGAGTGCATGTGGTTGTCTTTACAGTGGAATGGATCTAGTTGGCTAGACCAGTTGGTGAAATCAAGCGAGCACGACCTCGTCTCACCTTGAGGACGTAGAAGAAGGCAGTGCAAGGTATGTCAGGAACACCACTCAGCTGAATGACACTGTCCTCGGGCAACGGCTGATTGCAATTTACCCCCTGCATTGTGTGAATAAATGAGTGCAGCGTGAGCGTACCAGTACCAGAACTTCAAGACTGCTCCAGATCAAGAGAACAAAGAGTACCGCAATAAAGGAAGAACATCCACAGCGCGTGGCCAACAAAACCCTTTGCCAGGCTTCACTCTCCAATTCAATCTTTACCGCATTGATAGAACGAAACTTGTCCAGTGGGATGCCAACCAGTGCAGAAACATCTGAGCACTGCCAGTTGTCTCCAGTGACTGTCAGTTCAGTGGCTGAAAAACTTGCTGAAGATAGTGAGTAGAGAAAGAAGAAGGCATTTGGGACAGAAAGAGAGAGGAAAAACGTTAGGAAGAAAGGGACACATTCCATCCTTGATTTTTGAGATATTCCAAACAGGACAGTTTGGAATCATTCAAAGCCACGAACCTGTACCAATGAAGCTAAGCATCACCTGGGTCACAGGTGGGGAAGCCATAGAGTGTGACTCTTTCAATGTAGTTTGGAGGGCAGATGCAGGAGTAGGAGCCCTTGCCATCGTTGATGCATGCGCCCACGTAGCAGGGGTTCTTGAAGTACGACCCACACACGTCCACTGCCAATGGTAATGGGGTGATGATGGATATTACAGACTTCAAAAAGAGGGGAAGATTGAGCAACGAGAGCATGGGGACAAGCGAGGCGTGAGGACAGGATACATGAGAAAGAGGCAAGGGTATAGCATATCATACGTGCCACATTATCTCGAGTGAGAGTCGCGAAGAGTGAGAGCAGGGAGAAAGAGAGGGCGAGATAGAGAGGGGGACTCGCAATTTGTACTTAACAGCAGGATCTTACCATAAGCACAGGTTTTGGAATTATATCCGTTCACAACCTCAACAAATGGTTGGGATGTAGCGCCGATAATAGTGCAGGTGCATGTTTGGGCTTCAGCGGCATTCTGACAGTCGAACCGGCCGCAAGGGTTCATGCCATCTGAATCCTTATCGCCCTTGTGGCTATTTTTGGCGCATGGGTCCCCTGGAACTGAAGAGTGAAAGAGAGGGCACAGGACGAACACATGAACATGGAAAAACAAAAACAAAGAACAACCAAGATGGTTGGAACAAGATCGGTTTGGCAAATTGATATGCTTTGACAGGGCTGGAGACGTGCATATGATGTTTCGTATTATCTGCATTCCGACAAACCTCCAAAGCGTCCGCAATTCACATGCAGATTATGCATGTTTGGCGAACCTCCACATCGTCAGCAGAGATGGTTCGCATCCCGCACAGTTTCCTATCCAACCTCATGCCTTTGCCTTGTCCGGTAGGCACGTTACTCCAACTGCGAGCTTCCCGAATTCAGATTTGTAAAAGCTCAAAGTGCACAATATGTTAAAAGAACACAAGACTTACATTACGTGTTCGCATCTAAATTTTGTTTACGTTTTGTGGCCAGATTCCAGTTTTGTTTGGGTTGCCCGAGAACCTTGTATCCTCTGTCCGGCTGTATATTCGGTTGTTTCTTGCACAACCAAAGGGTAGTGTGACGGGCTTCATGTGTGCTGTTTTTTCAGCCCAAGCACACGTTCCCCTCCTCTCCCTCTCACACTGATCCCACATTGTTCCTCTCACATCCTGCCTCTTGTCCCACTCCCTTGGTCAATGGCACCGCTTGGCATTATTTTTTTCTGCCCCGGTACATGTAATGCGTTTTTACACACATACGTATGGGTTCGTTTATGCTTACGCGTAACACTTTGATTACGTGGAATCTAAAAACGTACGGACCCAATTTAGCACCAAACCCAGCCAGTGCGACCTGGTTATCGAATGATTAAATTTGCAACTCTGACTGGGACTGACTGGGACTGACTGGGATTTTTTCATTTCCTGGCGAATCCTTTTGGAGTGGAGCTGCGGCCCATTCAGGGGCCTCTGAGAACCAGTTATAACCCTCTCAGGAAGGAGGGAGGGAGGGAAGAGGGTTGGAGGGGGGGGGGTGGGGGATGGTGGGTTTGGGAGAGGGAGGGGGTATTTGGGGGAGGGTGGGGGGCCATGGTGACCAATTAGACTCGACCCGAGTCATCCAACACACGAGACAACCCTTCCGACTTGACCTGATTCGACTCTAGTCGGGCAATGCAACTTCGCTCGAATCTAGTCGGATAAAAAAATGAAACAAACAAACAAAAAGAGAATACTGACTTGACTCAAGAAGATTCGAGCCGAGTCGGACGATTTTGGACAAAACTCGACTCGCTGCTCATGTCTGATGTCTCACTCTTAATAATGGGGTAGATGCCAGGCAGCGTGTTGATGCCGCACACGCCATCCCCCCCCTGGATGTCCATGCGCATGTGGCCCCCGTCTCCCCAACCATCTCCCCACGAGTTGCGGATGATCCAAGATGGAGGAGCAATGCGGTATTGGCTGCCGTCATCTCCGTTGATGAAGTAACCAACGACCAGCACCACATGGTTCAGATTGCCAGTGTAGCAAGCAGCATCCGCGTATTTGAATGTCTGAGACGGAGAAGGGACAGGACATAGCTTGGTCAAGAAAACAGAGCACAGTATGATCCGTACTGAAGGAATAGCAAGAAATTTCCAGTATGTGAATGTATCTGTCTTCCTACTGCGAATGCTGCAGCGACTCACCCCATCATATTTGATGAACGTGTCAGCCGAAGCCTCGATGTGAACCACCACTGGCTGGCGCCGCACTGCCAGCATGAGCCCGAAGTACCCCTTGAAGAGCGCCCGCTCAAACGATGTCACCGGGTATGTTGTTGCCTAGGAACACAAAGAGTGAACTTGAAGACCATTTTAAAAAACAAGCAAATCTAGAAATGGTACAAGGTCCATGCTTTGTCCATGTCCATGTGTGCCACATGCAGAATAAGAAGCAAGGAATCATTCTACAGAAGGAGACAGCTGAATGCATTGCCAGAATATCCAAGAAAACATGAGCAGCAGGGGAGCTCGACCCTGTTTGCCATGGACATTTTCGAACACCTCAAGACTTGAACCAAAATAGATCGGCCCGAGTCAAACACTGTTCTCAGAAAGAGGCGTTCGATTGTTCACCCACCGGATCAAACAAATCAGTGTTCAGTGTTTTGCCAAGAGGGATGGTTGAGTATTGAAAGTGCACATGAATACGGTTTCCATGGCTCCACCCCACCTCACAAACCATGCCCTCACCCACCGGGTTGCTGCCTCCAGTGAGGCCACTGCTGGCGTCAAGCGTGACGAGCTTCTCAAGGGCGGCAGTGGGGGAGCCTCCAGCGGTGCACTTGTCTGCATCGGTGAGCCTCATGGCTGCAAAGAGTGGCTCCACTGACAGCTGGGGAGCGGCTTGATTCAATGCGATGCCGTACGCAGCCTCCACACTCGCCACCACCGCATATGCCCAGCATGCACCTGATGAGTAAGTGGGTACGAGAACAGTTAAGCATTCCATGAGGGTGGGGTGAAACACATTCCCAGCTGCAGGACCTTGCTGACCTTGCTGCCGCAGATGGTAAACACATGTGCAGTGGGTAACATGCAGAATTTTCAGAAATTGCCGTGGAGAATGTGAGCCATGAGAGCGGAGGTGCTCCGATCTGGAAAGGTCCACATCTGCATCCCCTTGCCACTCACTGCAATCCAACTGATTCTTGACAGGCCAGTTGAGGAAGGTGGTGGTGCTCCACGAGTGCAAGTCACGGCTGGCCCACGAGTCCGCACCGCCTTCCGCCAATTGGTAGTCCGTGCTCACATAGCGCGAGAATGGGTTGGCTCCACCAGATGGCACAAACGTGCTCTCCGAAATTGTGAAGCCAAAGGCTGCGAGGGAGGGAAGGGGTGGACAAAGTTTGATATGTCGATCTGATGGCAGATCAGATAAATATGTATGCATATATATATATATATATATATATGTATATATATATATATGTATTTCGTTCTAGCGGCATGACCAGAAAGGGCAACATGCAAGAAATCGTGAGCAAATTATGTATATTGTGTGATGAATTATCACTCCACGTCCAATTCTTTGTCTTGGTCGGCACAGATCCATTTTGCGTCATCAGTTATATTTTTCAACCCCTAGATTGCGCAGCTGTTAACGGGTCGTGCACGGTGCACCTCAAATGCTGGTTAGCACATGGCAGACAGCTCAGCTCACCTTGATCTGTGCTCTCGACAGGCTTGGGTGGAGGAGGTATGTCTGAGAGGGGACAAGGGAGAAAAGAAACGATTACAGTAACGACAAGGTTAATTATGAGGCTTAAGACAGAAGGAGAACCAAATGCACGTTACACTGAACAGGTTACGGCTCATCGTATCCTTATTTTCCTAACAATGATTGGCGAATCCCTATTGAGCAGAACCAGCACCGGTTTCCACAATAGTGCCTGTCATGGCTGCGTATTCGAGTTAACTATTACCATAATGGTCATCATCATCGTCATCATCATTCACACAGTCACTGCCATCACCATCACCCCACTCAGCAAATGCTTGCCTGTTCGCACGGCGGACTTGAGAATGGCATGCATCTGAAAGGGCTTCACAGTGGTGGACGCAACAAATCCAAAGAAGAAAGCCGGCTGCTTTCCACTAGGCTGCAGCACCTCACACAGCGACAGATTGCTCTGCAGCAGCGGCATCGCTGGCTTCTCCATGGAATGATCCAGAAACACTTGAATGTTCACAGGTTTGCCGGGGTCATAGTCCACCCATGCCGTGTAGAATTTGCCGTCGGTTAGAGTGAATGGTGACGCCACTGCAACCACGGGCGTATTCGCGCCATTTATGTTGAGCCCCACGTGCTGCTCTGTCTCATTACTGTGTGTGTCAAACTCAACGGCTAAAGTCTGCCTTCTCATTCCACCATACCCTACACCATTGGCTTTCCCCACCTTGCCCTTTGGCGCTATCACAAACGCGAAGCCGTTGGACCCTGCAGAACCATTCTGGGAAATGAGGCAGAATGTGAAGTTGACACTGAAAGATAGCTGTATACCACATCCCTTGCTCAAACGAGTTGGGTATGCAAAAAGGCTTTCCGGCTCTGCCATAAACCTCCCCACTGTCTGTCGTTGTGTCCCCTTGGTGAGAAAAGTGAATGCGGGAAGAATAGGCTTGTTGATGGAGAGACTACTATTCCAACCTGGAAGTGTCAGGGGAGAACAGAATGGCATGAGCAAGACACACATACATTGGTGAAGACAGAAGAGTATGTGCAGCATAGGCTGCAGGAACCCTTTGGAGCAGCAGAGCGCACAGGTTGCCAAACCCCAATGGTGCATCACAAAGAATTTGGCAGTTCATGATAGGGGACTGCGAGACAACTATACAACCGTGGTAAAGTCTGTGCAGTACTTACGTTTCTAAAACCATTTGTTTGATCACCTGACAAACAGTGGTGCAACGGCACGGGCTTAAATTAAACCACTCATTGTGCAATGCTTTGCGATCAAAGTAAAGCGTACGGTTGCTATGTATAGGAAGTAGGGTATAGAATAAGTGTGAAACGACAAGGAAAATGATTAACTTACCTTTTTTGAAACAGTTGAACCTTCCAACACGCACATATCCCTGTTTACACAGGCACGTTGGCACCAAGCTGGGTCCGTCTGGATAGCAGATGCCATTGCCGTCACAGGGATTCGCACCACCACAAAATGCTGCGCACTCTGCTGCAGTGCGCTGCTGCGCAAGCGTACAGTTGGGCTCCGTGCTGGTACAGCTGGACTGTGCAAAACAGTTGGCGGCAAGATTGCTGGACATGGAGGCTGCAACATCCAGCCGACCTGTCAAGTAGTTGCTTGACAAGTCATGAAACTCCCAGGAGATACCAGAAATGGGACCTGAGAGGTAGTTGTGGGAGACATCACTGCATGCAGGAAGCAAGGGGAAGAAGGTGTCAGTATGGGAGTACCAAATCAGGCAGGGAACAAGGCTGAGGACGAAGAAGAGGAAGAGGAGGAAGAGGAGGACGAGGGGGACGAGGGAGAGGAGGAAGAGGAAGAGGAGGAGGAGGAGGAGGAGGAGGAGGAGGAGGAGGAGGAGGGGGAGGAGGAGGAGGAGGAGGAGGAGGAGGAGGAGGAGGAGGGGGAGGAGGAGGGTAGACGAAGAAGAAGAAAAGGAGAGGTGCGAGAGGGCACATGTCCTACATATGGAGAGGCTAAAATGAAGATGGAGCAGACTTGGGTCACTAAAGAAGAACAAGAAACAGGAGAAACATCATGAGGCAATGCTAGAACGACTGACGAGAGTAGGTTGATGCAAAAAACAGGCAACGGGAGGGAAAGTGTAGACATATGGGAGCAGCAGGCACGGCAATAAGGGGAGGTCGCGCAGGTGACAGTTAAGAGGCATGCGGGTCTGAGAGAGGGTCGGCAATAGGTAGGTTAACTAAGGTGGATAGGAGAGGCGTTGCCAAGGACTCTCTGTGGTGGTACCATGATAAAATGCAGAGCCCAGGAGCCATGGGTGACAAGGGGAAAGCGCTTTGGATAGGTGGAGTAGAAGGATATAGAGGAGGTTGGGGTGAAATGATAGCTGAGCCTGCGGCTGCTTCGGTCTAAAAGAATGAAATTGGAAGTGAGCGTAAACCAAACTCGAGATATATAATAAGGCCAGTATAAATTACATGATTTCACAGCGAAATATGTTCATGGTTACCATGTTTGAATTCGCCTCTTGCTGATGCCTAGGTAACATCGTGGAGCAAGTAACACGCATATGAATCATATATCCTAGACATATGAAACCATCATGTCATCTCAATATCTTCGCGTGCATCATTTCAGGATCTCAAACTTGGTTCTCATGTTCTCCTCAGGGCTCTCAACAACAATCACTTCAGTGGCTCCATTCCATCTGAGATTAACTCCGTTCTCGGTCTCTCATTATTGTGAGGCCTCTAATCGTTGTTCCTAGCTTGTTCTTGCTTCCTCTTCCCACGTTCTGTGCAATTTCTCTGTTCCAAAGAATCGAGCGCAAATTGGGGAGATGGTGAGAGGGTATCAGGGTTGGTGTTGGGGAGGTAGGGGAAGAGGGAGGGGGGAGAGAGTTACAAAGCTCAACACATAGCAGACCAACACTTACAGGTACACTTAGGTAGATTCCAGGTTGGGTTGGCCAATACTTATTTGAGGCCCTGTTAATTGCTGGTTGAGTTAGCCAACATAATTGGGGCCATTTATTGTTTTTGTTCTGGCCAACATTATTGGAGGACCAGGAACTGTTGGAAGGGGCAGACAATAGCACAATCGGGAATAAGGTTCAAGAGTGCTGCGAGTTGAGCAGCAGATAGCATGAGCGTGTGGGAAAGAAGGTAAGCTCAAGAGCCAAAGGGAAAACATCATGATTGAAGCTCCCCCATCTTCCAATATACCCTCCCCCAACCCAGCCTTTCATTCTCAACTAGCTACCCTCTCCCTCATCCCTTCGCTCACTTCCTGCCTTATTCCCTCATCTAATACCCCCTTCTTTCCACTTGTCCATCGAGTATCACCCTTACTCATCACATTCGTTCCAATACTCTTTCCTGCACTCATGTTGTTGTACAGACTAGTGCGTGTCCGCTTCCACCTTTTCTTAACCCCCCCTCCTCCTCCTCCTCCTCCTCCTCCTCCTCCTCCTCCTCCTCCTCCTCCTCCTCCTCCTCCTCCTCCTCCTCCTCCTCCTCCTCCTCCTTCTCCTCCTCCTCCTCCTCCTCCTCCTCCTCCTCCTCCTCCTCCTCGTCCCCTCCTCCTCCTCCTCCTCCTCCTCCTCCTCCTCCTCCTCCTCCTTCTCCTCCTCCTCCTCCTCCTCCTCCTTCTCCTCCTCCTCCTCCTCCTCCTCCTCCTCCTCCTCCTCCTCCTCCTCCTCCTCCTCCTCCTCCTCCTCCTCCTCCTCCTTCTCCTCCTCCTCCTCCTCCTCCTCCTCCTCCTCCTCCTCCTCCTCCTCCTCCTCCTCCTCCTCCTCCTCCTCCTCCTCCTCCTCCTCCTCCTACTCTTCTTCCTCCTCTCAATCTTCCTCCCCCACCTCCTCTCCCCCCTGTTCTTAATTCCCTCCTCCTTCTCTTCCGCTTCTTCCTCTTCCTCTCTCCCTCTTCTTCATCCTCAGCCATATCCGCTGCCTGCGTATGTCTGCTTACCACCCCACCCCACCACCTACGTTGCTAAATACGAGTATCGAGTATAATACGTTAGCGTATTATACGCTTGGTATATACGCGGTACGCCAAGGCTGGCGTACTGCTGATACGCAAAAATACACTGGGCGGGCAGGTAAAACTTTTTACCGGGCAGGTTTCGCCCTCAAACTGTAGGGAGTAGAGGTTGTCATGGCGAGAAGTACTGAAGCTAGGAGAGTGCGAGCTTGATGAGAGTTGGACGAAATGCAAGAACAGAAATGCGGGATTGAATGAAAGACGACCTGTTTAGGGATTGACGAGATGTTCGAACGAGCGAAAGGGGGGAGGTTGGTTTTGGGAGGTTGAGAGGGGTAGTGTGTGCTTGGGGATGTGGGAGGGGTTGGAGTTTGATTTTCGAATTGCAGACAGGGGTTGGGTGCTGTGCGAGGTCGAGGGTTCAATTCTCGCCGTCGCAAATTCTCGCAAAAAGAAAAATGTTTTTTTTTTTCGGGCTGCCCCGACGTATTTTAGCGTTTTTTGGGCGTATTAGCGTATTGCGTACATACTCTAACGTATATACGCAATACGCCCACCCCCCAAGGGCGTATTTTGCAACATAGCCCACCACCACCCACGCCCCCCTCCCCTCGGTCCTCACATGCAGTGATGTCTCGCACAACTACCTCACAGGCCCCATTTCCGGAATCTTGTGGCAATATTATGACTTGTCAAGCAACTACTTGACAGGTCGACTGAATTTCTCAGCCTCGATTGCCAGCAATCTTGCTGCCAACTGTTTCACGAAGTCCAAGTGCCCCCCCACAAAGCCTAAGTGCCGCCTCAAGCTGCAGCGGCCCACAGCAGAGTGCATGGCGTTTTGTGGTGGCGCGAATGCTTGTGATGGCCGTGGCATCTGTTATCCAGAAGGGCCCAGCTTGGTGCCAACGTGCTTGTGTAATGCGGATTCAGTGCCAGTTGGAAGAACCTACTGTTTTGAACAAGGTAATTAAGTGTTTTTGTACGTTTTCTTTTTTATCTTTGCAACATCACACTTTTTTTGTGCCTTGCCTCGTGCATATTTGTACCACATTAATCTGGAAACGCAAGTACTATTTGCACTGCACAGAATCTCTCAGTTATGTAGTCATAATTCCCTCTCATGGACTGCTTAGTTCTGATGCGCCATTGAGGTTTTGCAACTTGTGCATTGTGCTGCGCCGTTGAATCCTTCCAGGTTGGAACGAAGGCCTTTCCATCAGCGAGCCTATTCTCCCCGTGTTCACTATTCTCACCCAGGGAACGCAGCAACAGACTGCGGGGAGGTTCATGGCAAAGGCAGTGAACCTCTTTGCGTACCCATCGCGTTTGAGTACAGGATGTGGTGCGGAGCTGGCTTTTAGTGTCAACTTCACCTTCTGTCTCATTTCCCAGTATGGGCTTGGCACATCCAATGGCTTTGCATTTGTAATCACTGCAAAAGGCAAGGTGGGGAAAGCGGCAAAGGGGAAGGTGGGGAACGCTGATGGTGTAGGGTACCGTGGAATGGACAGGCGGAGTGTAGCCATTGTATTCGACACTGCCACTGATCCGAAGGAGCAGCATGTGGGGCTCAACATAAATGGCTTAGATACATCCTTGGTCACAGTGGAGTCACCATTCACGCTGACTAACGGTGACTACTACACGGCATGGGTGGACTACGACCCTTGGAGTCGTGGCTCTATCAAGGTGTTTCTGGCTGACTCCAAGGAGAAGCCAGAGGAGCCGCTGCTGCAGAGGGAGCTGTCGCTGTGTGCGGTGCTGCAGCCCAGTGGGAAGCAGTCAGGGTTCTTCTTTGGATTCGTGGCCTCCACCACTAAAAAGCCCTTTCAGATGCATGTCATTCGTTACTCCGCCGTGCAAGCAGGCAAGCATTTGCTTTGTGGGGTAACTGTAGGTGATGGCGGTGACAGTGGTGGTTGATGATGGATTTGAATGAATTAGGAGATGGTGCTGGTGGCATTGCAATGAATGCTTCATAATGGTGGTAATTGTCGCACTCATATGCTGCCACTGTTGACACGGTTGTGGGAACTGGATGATGAATGAATGATGTGCGCTCGTTCTTCTCGGCACGAATGATGTGCGCTAAAGAAATGGCCATTTGGAGTGACTCTGCATTAGCCATCCAGTCTCGTGGCTCTTTTTCTGGCGTAGTTCTCACCTATCACGTCGAGACTGCTATGGTTGTGTCCCCTCCCTTACAGAGATACGTCCTCCACCCGAGCCAGTCGAGACAACAAATCAAGGTGAGTTTCTACCATCAGTCAGGTTGTCAAGAGCACCAGATATATTGTAGAAAGAAAGCACAAAATGAGGATGGGAAAGAAACAAACACAATTGAAATAATGATTGATTGTTTATCGTTGTCTGAAATATAGCATGTTTCAACCACCGCTCTCCTACATCTTATCCTCATGTGTCTGTTTGTCCAACCCTCACAGCACTTGGCCTTGTAGTATCAGATAACACATTTCTACCACCTGGGGCAAACCCCTTCTCATGCTATGTGAGCACGGACTACCAGTGGACGGGCAGCAGTGTGAGTGTGGACTCGTGGGCCATCCGTGACTCCCAGCGTTGGGATTCCATGGCCTTCCTCGACTGGCCTGTCAAGAACCAGATGGATTGCAGTGAGTGGCGAGACAATAGAGTTTTAACGCATCTTTTGGAAAATTCCTTCAGGTCGGGAAACCACCACCTTTCAGGTTTTTATGCTTCATGTGTCTTAGTAGACTTGAGCATTTGGCGAACACGATCATGTTCTTGTTCGCCTACTTACGAACACCCCGTGTTCTACAAAACAAACATGTTCGTGTTTGCTAAACACCCCCCACAAAAATAGGATGTTCACTGTTAGCCTTCACAGGCGAACAGCAAAGTGTTCGTGGCGAACACGAACATGCTCGCGTTCGTTTTACAGGGAGCCTCATGTCAATGGAGTGCAAGTGTGTTGTTACCTCGGAGGCTGGAGGGTGGTTTTGAGTGAAGGCAAAGAAACTGTATACAATATGTCATGTTTAATACTACGTAGTCTATTTAAATGTAATCATTTCCATTGTTTAAACAAGCCAACACCAACACATGCACAACATCAACGTGCATGAAATGATGTGGCATGTCAAAACGACGCTCCTGCTCTGCAGCACTACCACTCTCTGAGAGGTGTTGGTGGCTATGATAGTAGATACGCTTGGGGAGGGAGGGCGTATCCCATACATTCGCGTACGAATGTACGCAATACGCTAATACGATTCAAATTCGCTGGAAATACACTCGGGCAGCCCGTGCAAAGAAAGAAGTTGGGAAAAAAACGCGACAAATTTGCTACTTTGCGAATTGTTTCCCGAATCCCGCGCAGCACCAAACCAACCACCTGAAATTCAAATTTCAGATTCCAACCCCTCCCACTCCCTCAATCACACATCACCCCACTCAAGCTCCCGAACCCAACCTTTCCCCTTCCAGCCGTTCAACATCTTCAGAGGTCCATACGGTGCTCGACTTACATTCATTCCTCATTTCCCTACCAGCATTTCATCCAAATCTTGTCAACCTCCTCCGTTTTAGCCTTAGTATTGTCTCTTGCCATGGCGTCGAGCTCCACTCCCTCTTCGACGAACAATGCAGCGTCTGTCGAAGGTTCTAATGGCAACAACATGACTGTTGATGCCAACCCATAGCACCCCATCCTGAAGCATTTTCTCATTCCGTTCCATACAAAATGATCGCCAAAACTTTGCAAGCTTTGTGGCCTGCAGTTCGAGGGCGGAACCACTCGGTGCGGACTGCACCTCGCCACATGGAGAGGGCAGGGGAAGCGTGATGTGCGGATATGCCCGAAGGTTTCCAAGGTTGTCCGTGATGGCGTGCGTGCCATGTATGAGGAGAAATTTGCGGGGCAGGAGTTGAAGCGTGGGGCAACTCAAGCCGCACTCGAGGACGCACTTGGCGCGGTCAGTGGCGTGCGGGGAAGAAAGGAAAGATCAGTGACAGTTGATGTTTTCGGTGATGAGGCGAAGTCCGTCAAGGAGGAAGCGGATGGTGCAGTATGCCTCATGTTCGCGGGGCTGCGTCTTCCGGAGAGCATTGCCGTGTGCCACGCACGTGCTCGACCTGTTGATGGAGGATGTTGGCAAGATTGCATGTGGCGAAGGGGGTCGTGGAGAGGGGGGAGGAAATTATTGACTACGTGCGGAACCACCACTTCACCCGTGCGTTCATGAGGAAGGGGAAGGGAAAACAGATGTTAAAGCCGGCGGGGGCGAGATTCGGGACACAGTACATAGCTGCGTGAGGTGCGGCGACGGCTCACGCAACTGGTGCTGAGCGATGAATGGAATGTGTGGGCAACAGGGGGAAAGCGGGCTGCGGCAAAGGCGTTCAGGGGGTATGTAATGGATAAGGAGTGGTGGAGACGTTCTGATGCAACTGCCCTTCAAGACCATGAGAGCCACCGACTCCTTGGCAAAAGGCATGATGGGCAAGCTTCATGACAATATCAATGACAAGTTGGAGGCAGCTGGGGGGTTCTTGACGCAGGCGGAGAGGGTGGAGATTGCAAGGAATGTGAAGGACAAGAAGGACAATCCCCTTGCTTGCCCCATGCACGCAGTTGGCCGGATTTTGAATCTGGTCAATCAAGAGGAGGGGATCTTCAGGAGCGAAAAGGAATGCACACGGGTTTTTAAGGATTACATTGAACGGCATTATGACACTCTTACCTTTACGAGGGGCAAAAATGGCGTCTCTCGTTGAGCCTCCCTTGTGCTGCAGGATGCCTTGATGGCTTACATGAACCTGGAGGGCAGCTATGGCAGGCCGACAGCCATTGCAGCGTGGGAGGCTGTGAAAGCGGGAGAGATGAGCATGGTGCAGTGGTGGATGTGGCACAGCTTCGATCCAACTACCCCAAGATTGCAACCCTTGCATGCTAGGTGCTCTCACAGCCGGTGTCCGCGTCCTCCTGCAAGCGTAATTGGGCGGTGCGGGAAGGTGTGCGCACGTCCCGACGCAACTGACTTGCGCACAACTGGGACGTTGTGCACAACTGGTACAACAAAGATATCGGCAGCGGCAAGGCTGTGCCTGGGACTACCCCAGAAGACCCTATTCCTCCCGGGTACAACGTGGATGGGGAGAAGACGAACTTGCAAGGAGGGAAGGGGAGGTGGATGATAATGAAGTTACAGCGGACGAGTAAGGGGAAGGGGTGGTGATGGAAAAGCCCAAGAACCGCCTGAAAGCGAGGATGTTGCTCGAGGCGTTGTCGGCCGTGAGACCACCTCCTCCACAACCTCCTCCACCACCTTTGCTATCTGATCGTCCCCATGTCGCCCAACCCAAGCATCTCGCGAAACTCAAAAGACTACGTTTGCAGCTGAAACTCCTCCTCTACCCTGTAACCTGTAACAACTATGAACGTCTTTCCATTCGGCACCGTTCATATGTTCATGCTAGAGAATACCTTGCACCCCAACTCCCTCTCCTTCGCCACCAACTCCGCAATGGCCGCCTGTAGAGCAGCCGCAGCAAAAATGATGGTGTCGCATGCAACAGTCCAGCACGAGGCGATGAAGTTTTTCTCCCCGCAATATACGTTGCAAAGCTTCGATAGCTCTCGAAACTAGAGGGAAGGGAACACAAACAGTCGAAGATGGTAATTGGTTTAGGGTCACAAGGGTCCAATCGATATGTGGTTGTAAACATGGTGCGGGGCAATAACGAGCAACATACATCGAATCTAGGATGGCGCTCACGCCGTCCGCTTCGACTATACGGAAAGGAAGGTAGCAGGTGACGACCAGCTTAGCGATCGCCTTAGGGATGTTCGACCAGCTGGCGACATGAGGCCACTCGTGGATGTAGCCATCCGGCACACCCTTGTAGCCCAAAAAAAAAAACGTATCATCTTTCTTCAGGAGGTGGGGCCGGTCATAACGATTCTTCCACACGTCCATGTGAGCCGTGTGTCAGCTCGTGACGCTTACCCGTTGTAGCGGTGGTCCCATTCCATGAGATGCGGTCAGTGCACATTTTGCATTGGCGCTTATTATCAGCTCTCATAGGACCGAACATTTGAATTTGTCACACCAGTCTCTTCTTGTCTCCCTTTCCACTCCCTTAACTACTCTCTCTTGTCAGCGATTCATTAACACATCTTGGATCAACCATTCCCTTTCCCCAGACCTCTCCTGTGTATGTAGATGGATACGGTTTGGGTCTCAGCTTTGGTTTGGGTCCAAGCGTGCAAATTGGTGGGTTGGAGATTGCTTGGAGATTACATTTGGGTTTGGTTGGGATGTAGGTGTACACCCAACCAAACACAAGTGCAAACGACAGTACTCTAGGATATAGAAAATATAAAATACAAAATGTGAGAATGAGGGCTAACACTAATAGAGATTGCCTTGGGATTACCCCCAATCCCCTAGGATGGCTCCCCATTTCCTCCCCATCCCTACCTTGCTCATTTCCGATAAGCTTCTCGCTCATTACTAGTATATGGATTCTAAGCTTAACTTCTGACACTTACCCCCAACCCCCAACTCATGAAATTCTGTGCCATCCCTGACTAACCCTTTCCCAAAAACCTATACCTCACCTACCCACCAACCTAGACTACCAACTTTCACCCTACGTGTTAAGTCTTACCATCGTGTTCCATTGCTTCTTACACTAATCTAAGCTAAAAAAGTGCTACTAGTTACGCTACTCTGAATGTGTTGTGAAATATGGTGCTTGGAAGTAAGGTCTGTGGGAGAGGGGATATTGGTCCCGTAGAGACTGAACATGTTAGTGTTCGTCGTGGCTCGGCCGGCCGCGATGAAGCGAACACAAACGTGTTTGGGCGAGCACGAACATGTTCGACCAGAATGCTTTAGATAAAAGGAAGTGTTTGGTTTGCCTCGAACATGTTCGAGACGAACCGAACAGGGTGCCAGCCCTTGTGCTCAAGTGCATCCACGATTTTTGCAGCGTTACTCCACCTTCAGATGCTGAACATATTTATTTGTCCTTAGGTGCATGCTGGGCGTATGCGGTGGTGGCGAGTGTGGAGGCTGCGTACGGCATCGCATTGAATCAAGCCGCTCCCTAGCTGTCAGTGGAGTCACTCTTTGCAGCCATGGGGCTCACCGATGCAGACAAGTGCACCGCTGGAGGCTCCCCCACTTCAGCCTTTGAGAAGCTCGTCACTCTTGATGCCAGCAGTGGCCTCACAGGAGACAGTGACCCGGTAGGGCAAATGGAGAGAGGGCATGGTAAGTGAGGTGTGGTGAAGTCATGTTTGGCGTATTCGTGTGTTGTTTTGAGACGCAACCCACTGGCGTATTTGTGTGCTGTTTTGAGACGCAATTGGATAGGTTGGCAATGCAGTGCACTGTCACTTGCTGTAAAATAACTCTTTGTTTCTTGGTTTCTATACAGACTGGACCAAGATAACCATTGTAGAGACTTTACCCTTTCTTAATCCGTTCACTCTATTCATACAACCTTAAACCCGTGCTCCTCATCCTAGGCAAAACCATATCCAGTGGCAGCATTTGAGCGAGCGCTCTTCAAGGGCTACTTTGGGCTCATGCTGGCAGTGCGGCGTCAGCCAGTGGTGGTTCACATTGAGGCTTTGGCTGACACGTTCTTCAAATATAATGGGGTGAGTCGTTGAGCACTCACATAGTGTGGTGCCTTATATGCATGCATTAAAGGTTGAATAATATGATAATTAGAACCTTTGCCTTAGGCTTCTCTTTACATCGCTGATTCTACGTGTGCTCGGTTTTCCTGATGGATGTATGCTCTGTCCTTTTCTTGTTTCAGACGTTCAAATACCAGGATCCTGCTTGCTACACGGGCAGTCTGAACCATGTGGTGCTGGTCGTTGGCTACTTCATCAATCGAGACGACGGCAGCCAAAAGCGCATCTCTCCTCCATCTTGGATCATCCGCATTTCGTGGGGAGTTCTTTGGGGAGACGCAGGGCACATGTTTATGGACATTCAGGGAGGGGATGGCGTGTGTGGCATCAACGTGCTGCCTGGCATCTACCCCATTGTCAATAGTGAGCCATCTACCCCATTAACAATAGTGAGGCATCTACCTCGTTATAAAGAGTGAGGCAATTACTCTTTTGTCAATAGTGAGACATCTACCCCATTGTCAATAGTGAGACATCTACCTCATTGTCAATAGTGAGACATTTTCCCCATTGTGATTAGTGAGACATCTACCCCATTGTCAATAGTGAGACATCTACCTCATTGTCAATAGTGAGACATCTACCCCATTGTCAATAGCGAGACATCTACCCCATTGTCAATAGTGAGGTATCTACCCCATTGTCAACAATGAGGAATGCTTACCTCTTTCCCGAGGTTGGCACCTAAACCATTTCTCGAAGTTGGGTCTGTACTGAACTTCTAAGACAAGAGACAGTTTAATATCTGCCTCTTGTTATACAAAAGTGGACAGGCTGATTCCGTTTGCCAACTAAGGTGCACACACGAGTGATAAGGGAGAGGATAAGACATATGTTCTTCAGGTGAAAGGGACTCAGCACAAGGCCCGACTGGGGTGTTTTCAGCTTGAAATCACTTCAATCTTGAAATTATTACTCTGAGTCTTCATCATAATTTGTTTCTCGAGTTCTTGGAAAACCTGTTGCACACGCATGCGACACGCCGAATGTTCGACACACGATGACATGGAGAACGCACGCTACATACACATAACGACGTGGCACGCGACTAGCAGAAACTCGTTAATGAATCAACACACCAAACAAACTTGCTAACTCCATGCTCTGATATCATATACACAAACACAAATGCACACACAAGGACAACAAACCGGGCGCAAACCATGGGGTTTCACCAACAATTTTTCTCACCAACAAAGGGGGAGGGGATTCGACCCAAGTAGTTCGTGGCTCATAGCGCGTCCCTTGGAAGGCTGGTGGCGCAGGCCTGCAGGGCCGTGTGGAGCATGCTGAGGTCCCACTGCAACCACTTCTAATGGTACTGGTGCAGGCGAGGCATGAAACCCGTTGGCCGATGCACCATGCAAGGATCTGAATACAAGCTTGGTGTGAGTCTGGTGGGTAATAGAGTTGAGTAATGGATGTGGAAATAATGTATTGACAGCAAACGACCTCCATGATTAAAGCTCTTTCCCATTGGGAAGTACATGGGTAGCCGTTTTGCACTTAGGGATCAACATTTCAACATGCTGTTACATCACAAGTGGTCTTCTAGGTCCTTACTAGCAATCAAGTGTTTTATATATTACCCATTCACGGTAGCTTGGAAACACAATGCGGTGTTTAGTTCTATGAACCGTGCATGGGTTGCAGCATCACTAGTTGCGTTGTCATACAGTTGATTGGCTCCTACCTACATGTTCTAAGTTTCTGTTGTACCCTCTCTTTGACCTTGCAGTTCAAGATGACCCGTGCAGCAACAATGGCTACAAGGGCGATCAGGATCTGAATGGCATGAATCCTTGCGGCCGGTTTCCATGCCAGAGGACTACTGAAGGCAACAAATGCACCTGTGTTATTGGAAATGTTGCTCAAGCTATTCAACCTTTTGTGGAGGTTGACAATGGATATGGTTCCAAAACATGTGCTTATGGTAAGATTTTGCTCCTGAGTTTAAATTACCAGGTTACGTTATCGAATGGACAAATGCTCTCCCTCCCCCTTTCTCTCACTCGTCTCAACCCACGCTTAAGGGAATGCGGCTATGCCTGAAAAACTTGCTAAAGAGCTTCCTATTTCTTGCATGTGGTGTCCTCATGCCTCCTTGTCCGTATGTCCTTCGTCGTCCAATCTTATCTGCTGTCTCCAACCTGAGCAATAACCATCACCCCATTCCCATTGGCAGTGGACGTGTGTGGGTCGTACTTCAAGAACCCATGTTACGTGGGCACATGCATCAACGATGGCAAGGGCTCCTACTCCTGCATCTGCCCTCCCAACCACATTGAAAGGGTCACATTTTACGGCTATCCAACCTGCGATCCAGGTGATACTTCAGATTTTTGTCTTTGAGTTTCCAGGTTGTTTTACTCCCGCGGCGCAAAGATGAGATATGGCTCCTTTTCCCCAAACCTACTCCTCTCCTTTCTCCCTAATGAATTCTTCTCACCCTACTCACTATCTACAGCGAATTTCACAGCCACCAACATGTCAGTTAGTGGAGACAACTGGCAGTGTTCGGATGTTTCTACACTTGTTGGCATCCCATTTGAAAAATTCCGTTCTACCAATGCGGTAATGATTGGGTTGAGTGAAGAATCTGTATGCATCAAAGGTTTTGCTGGTTACGCGTACTTACTCTGTTGCGCTACCTATCGTCCTGGTAAATGTGAAACATTGTTCTGGTACCGGTGAGGAAGGAGCTTGTCCATGCACCATGACAAAGGGTTAAGTAACGTGCACTCACGTCGCTGCTTCTTCGTGCATTTTTTTTACAATGTAGGGAATAAATTGCAGACAGCCATTGGCCAAGGACACTGTCATTCAGCTGGGTGGAGCTCCTGACATTCCTTGCACTGCCTTCTTCTATGCTCTCAAGGTGAGACAAGGTGCTGCCTTCTTGATCTCTACACCACACGTTAAGCCAGCTATGTACATCCCATTCTAGCCAACACCATGCGCCTCAGCACGGCATTCTCCCTTGCTCTGTCTACTCGCCCAGGGCGACACCTGTTCATCCATCAGCTCGCAGCTCGGCTTGAGTGTGGATGGTCTTACCGACCTCAACCCCGGCCTCGACTGTTCGCCCAATGGCCTCAAGGCGGGCCAGTCAGTGTGCATCGAGCGCAGCTCTGCCTTTGCCTACACTGTCCCCGAGTGTCTGAGATATGGCACAGTCACAGTGCAAACCACGTGTGAGAGGCTGCTTTAAAAGTCTGCTAAGGAGAAGGGTGCGAATGTCACTGGAAGTGACTGGGCTGAGCTGTACCGCAACAATCCCGGCCTCACTTGCTCCAGCACCATCCTTGGCAACATTCAAGTGCAGGTAAGGTTTGAACGGTGCGAATGATTCCAGGGTTAAAGAAAGAGAGAGATACAGAGAGAGAGAGAGAGAGAGAGAGAGAGAGAGAGAGAGAGAGAGAGAGAGAGGGAGGGAGAAAGGCATGAGAAAGGAAGTGCTTGAGAGAGAGAAAGTGGGGTGACGAAGGTGTAAGGGAGGTTGAGGGGGAGGGGGACAGGTGGGTGGCATGGCATGGTGGAAATGTAAAAATGGGATTGGGGAGGGAGGGAATATCAAGAGTGTTAAGCGTTGGTCAAAGGTAGTTGCGCATACATAAGTACTTCATTGAGCCAAGACTCGTGAGGACTGTAAACTGTATTTCATATTGGTCTTTCGGAACGGATCATCACTCGTCACCCTTGCTACCTCAATTCTGCATTCTTGTCAAAGTTCACTTTTCAAATTGGCATTTATGTGTCCTATCATGGCAGGTTTGTCTGAGGGCAGACTATTGGCCATTCACAGCAAGCGTCCCTTGCAAAAAAGGCGCATCCAAGAAAGTGGACAAGAGTGATACGTGTTCAACTATTTTTGTTACATGTAAATTCACGAGTAATGCGGACTTCTTTGAGTATAATGGCAAAAGTTGCTCTGGTGATATAGGCAAGAGCAAGTCGATATGCGTGCCCCATCCTCCTAGATAATTGTGTACGCTTAGGTTTCAAGAGGTCCATGGGGTCGTGGGACTTTGCTAGTGCTTTGAAAAGGTACATCCCGTCATCGTCCGGATAGTAGACATATATGTCTTATCTTATACTAGAAAAAAATGCTTGGGTTATTTTGTATTTGGGGAGGTTTGGGAGTCTTATAAGTCTTAAAAATGGAAACTTTTTATACAACTTTTGGGAAGCCACGTCACGGAGAATAACAGTGGAAGTTATTGTCACGTTACAGAGGCAAAGTTGGTAGTGCCTGAGTCAGCACGTGGAAGAATTCGCGTATCACAAGGGTAAAAATGTACGCGGTATTTCAAGTTTCACTATAATCTATTGCATATTCAATTATAAGACACATATGTCTTATCTCGTACACACAAATAGGTGTCTTATAAAGATAGGCTAGCCTGTTTATAAGAGACACCCGGATAATAAACAATCCCTGTCTACTATTCAACACTGCCTTCTATCCGGACGATGACGGTACCGTCATGCCCCGGATATGCCCCTAGGTGGGGGTATAAAAAAACCTGGAAAAATGGTGGGTGGGCTTATGATGTGGAAATTTTTATAACCCCATGGGCTAAATAAATGGCACTTAGAGAGTTATGATTTTGATACGTAAAAATGTAGATCTCAGCCTTGCACTTTTAATCTAATTTACCAAAAAGGCCTTGCTACGAAATTTACAGAAACTGTGCCACCCTGGCAAGAATCCCTGCCATCACGTGTGAAATGCTCCTAACATGTGCACGCCTGTGGCAATTTCGCCAGGGGGACCAGAGAAGATCTCGCCAGGCAAGTCAGCGACGATTGTTCCTGACGCGTTAATGGCGAATTCACTAGAAAATACACAGATCTGAGCCAAAATTTGTTAGGTGCGCTTATACGAAGATACCCCAAATTAGGGTGGGCTTATACTCGGTCCCTGCGTATAAGCACACCCCTACGATTATAACCGCATGGGTATATCTGAGGCCTGGGGGCATATCCGGGGCATGACGGTATGGACTACATGCTGAGACACATATATATGTCAAACATACCCGTATTTGCCCAGATAGTAGAACCCATATGAAGTTTATTATATGCATCATATGGAGACGGGGCGTCATGATTTATCATAGCTCCCTTTTCTCACCCCATTCCTCCTCTCTCCCACATTTCCTGCCATGGGTGTTATGATATGAAACTTTTTTAGAAGGCATTCCTGTATGTTGCAGGAGCCGAATCTAGCCAATACGAAGTCGGGGCATCAGAAGAGTCGAAGCGACACTTGCATTTTCTTTGAAATGAAAAGAGCTAGAACAGGATTGAAACTGGTTCCCGCGCTGCACGGTTTGAATTTCGCTGTAAAAAGGAAATGTACCCCTTAGAGTACATGGCTAGTCTAGGTCGTTTCGTATTCCTTTGTATTTCCTGTATAAACTCAATGTATGCATGCTATTATCATCTCAGTCATTTACATTCACTCTGACCTGAGTCTAATACTTTCGCTGCAATAACTCATGCGATCAACCCTGAGAGACTGTGGGGTGATGCTCGCCATAGACCCATACACACACGAGCTCATCCTCTCCTATGCTCCTTCAAACACCGCTCCCGAATCTCACAAATACCTTGAAAGAGCCTGATGAATGGACAGCATCAACGTACAGGGTTTCGACATACCCAGCTGCCAAGCCTCGTCAGACGAGCTCGTTGACCTCGTCCCCCTGGATTATTCATGAACAAGGAATCTTGGCAGCATCCAGACAGACGGCCGTTGAAGCCTTCACCCTCGCGAGGTTAAACTACACCAAGTCCGCCCCAATAGTCTTTGCACCACCTACGATCCACCGACAGCAGAAAGCGCACGGAAGAAGCAGAAAGCGCAGAAGACAAGCCAGTGGGCATGACGCAAATGAAACTCACCGTCACCCCATCGCATCTTTGCATCTTCAGCACTAGAAATGAAGGAACGCCCAACACCTCGCGCGGAGACACTATGTTTCATCCTCGAAGCCAACACCGGAACCCTTGATGAGGAGAATTTTCCTCTCCCGTACACCCGTGATGTCTATCGCAACATTATTGACAAAAAATGGAAAGACCCAGACAAACCTATGGAGCTAAGCGTGCACGAGGAAGAAGAAAAGGCAAGAGCTGAAAAGAAAGCAAAGCTATATGAGGAATGCATCGCGGCTAGATGGGACGAAGATAGCACAGCGCGGAGACAACCATGGCGCTAGAGGACAACCATGGGTCCGCAACTGACGCGTCAGGCACTGCACAAGGATGGGGAACTAGTGGATGGGGCTCACCGGAACGACGGGAACTCGGCCACAGGACTCCAACTGTACCAGCAGAAACTGGGGTGTCTGCTATTCACCTTTGTCACATGCCAATCCGACCTTTCGTACATCGCTAGCCAAGTAACACAGAATTCTCGCAATCTAATAGCTAAGAACCTGCTTAATATGGAACAAGCCCTGCAGTATTTCATTTCAACACCTGACATCAAGCTCTCCTACTCCACGCTGGCAACAACCTCCTTCAACCTCAACGGCTACGTGGACGCAGATCATGTCGTTAACCCTGCAAATCGACGGTCCCGAAGCGGCTTCGTCTTCAGACTAGAGCCAACCGATCTTCTGGAACTCACAGAAGCAGGAGCTGGTTGCTCTGTCATCGGCAGAAGCATAATACATCGCTGCGACAGCTGCAGTTCGCTAAGGGCTGTATCTGCATGAGCTATTGTAGGAGGCAAAAATCCCACTTTTGCCCACCTTTCGCCTTCACTGTGAGAACCAAAGCGCCATCAAGATCGCGAACAAGCCAGGGTTCGTGAACTGCACGAAGCACATTGCACTTCGGTACTTTTTCATCAATGACGAAACTGACCAACAGGGCAAAGTTGACCTCGCATACTGCCCCACCGCCGAGATGGCAGCCCACTTTCTCACCAAGAGTCTGTCACGTCAGCAATTCAAGCGAGTCAGCCCTCTGTGTGCCTAGGAATGAAGGGGAGTGTTACGATATGAAGCTTTATGAGAAGGCATTCCTGTATGCTGTAGGAGCCGACTCTAGCGAGTACGAAGTCAAGGCGTCAGAAGAGTCGAAGCAACACCAGCATTCGCCAGACCAAGACCGATGCAGACAAAAACATTTGAAATGAAGAGCGCGAGAACAAGTTTGAATCTGGTTCCCGTGCCACACGGTTTTTATTTCGTTGTAGTAAGGGAATGTACCCCTGGTCCAGGTCATTTCGTATTTCTTGGTATTTCCTTCATAAACTCAATGTGTGCATGCTATTATCATCTCAGTCATTTACATTCACTCTGACCTGAGTTTAACACTTCCGCTGCACTACTTCTTTAGATCAACCCTGAGCGACCCTTTGCTAAGTCCCACATGGGATTGTAACAATGAGTAAGGAAGAAAAGACTTGTAAATGCTAGTCTCTTAGGATCAAATTGAACCATCACGCAAGCCTGCGTTTTACAAGCCTGCATTATTAGGTGGAGTCGAAACTGGTGATGAAGCGGGTCTCTGCAAGAACCCCTTGTCCTCATAGTGAAACTCCATGATGGGGAGCCAAGTAGTGAGCTTGTTCTAAATATCCTTCCGGCTGAAACTCGGAAGCTTGTTCTCAAACAGTGTGCTGCATCTATGCCACTTGCGGCACTTGCGATTGCGATGCTGCTTGTGGCACTTGGCTGCATAGAACAGTTTAATCGGCGCCAGCATCCAAAGCTGACTACTCAACTATTGGTAGGTGCCACTTGTTGTGTGATGCTATCATTTGCGTTCACGTCTGTCTGCCTCCCATCCTATCGTTTTACCTGCATGAGTGGTATGCGCATGCATGAGAGTTTGTGCTTCATGTGGTTTGGACTTTGTGGATGTGCGTGAATGTTATTCTACTTGAGCAGATATCTGAAATGACTACTTTGCTCAAGAACTTTCCAACTAACCAAGGTTTGCTTCGATCGGAGCAAGAACGAGAAAGTTATGATCGTTCGAAGTTATACTTGTGGTGCGGGAACTGTGGAAATTTGTAAGGTTGACTCTATAAAGGGTATAGACTTTTGAGGGTTGGGAAATTCGTCACTCTACTCTCCCTTCCCTTTCGTCCTCCTCATCCGTTTCTACGCATCCCTCTCATTCTCTTTGTGTATCTTTGTTGAATAATTGTGATTCAGTTGTTATAGACACAGTAGGCTTCAATGTGCC